GAAATTCTGCACCCTCATCCATCCAATTCCAATACCTTTCATCCCGAATCCTTCACGACAATCCTCTTAAGAACCCTAAAGTGCCAAAGGATTACCTAATGAGGAAAATAAATAGTGATGTGTTAGGAGTGTAATTAGTACATGACTTCTTCACTCTTATAACATAAAATTCATATTGCTGTAATCAAACTTTTTTGAAAATTTACGAAATCTTATCTTTACCATTCTAAATTTCATGTTAATCGCAAGATCTACTCCTCTCTTTGAAGTGTTTAAAGGGAATGTACATATGTTTCTCAAAACATTGATTTCCATTGCTAAAGAGTTCAACAGATTTCGTGTCGTGCCCCCCCTCCCCTTCGCAGTTTTGTAATCAGATCATACACAGTTGCATGTCATGTGTCATGACATCAACAAGGACTACATGGCCGGAGACCTTTTACACGGAAATGACGTTGGAGGTAATTTCCCGATTCAAAGAAACCTTTGATATCGCCCAGCCTTCCGGAAAATTACCCATTATCGACGTCGAGTACCATAATTACATATTATTTGGGAGATCACCCACATGACCCCTGTTTGGAAAAAAGTAGTTACTTTCCCGGTTTTAAAAATCTACTGGCAATGAAAACAGTAGTGATTTAAATGAGAACAGTCAACAATAATGAAGCGTCATGTATAAATTAACATATTTTTTTCATGAGATTACATTATGTATGTGGCATGTATTTACAATCAATTATGTTTATCCTTTGAACTTGAAACAACTTACTTAAGCAAAAATTATAAGCGTATTTTTTGAAGAAAAAATACAAAACGATGAATACTAATCTTGGAATAAGCGTTAAAAAATGAAAAATAAAAGCGATTAATACAGCTTTATTAGCTTTTTTACGGGGGTTCGCAATAGCAGAGGTCATATCAACCCTCGGGGTTTAAAAAAAAGCTCATTTGTAAATATGTCAGGTAGAATCCATGTCAACGCCTAAACCGTTGCGGCAACCGAAGCCCTTAGAAGCTTTATTATAATACTAATTATCTAGACAATGATCTACGTGTCTGTTGGATTCTGGAATCAAAGAGTTAATGCGCCCAAAAAAATTATATACAGTCAACACGCTTTCCAACGGAGTGAAGGGCAAATAAAGATTAATTCTAGGATTTATTTGGGGTAAACCGATAATCCCGACATACGGGCGAAAAAGAGAAAGGTAACAAAATATAAGATAATAAAATTACAATTATGCTGTTACTGCTGGTAAATGCAGCATTGAAAATGGTCTGTAAAAACGTGGCAAAAATTCAGGACCACTACAAATGTGATCCTTTCATCAAGCTCACTGCAGGCAATCTACAACCGCGACGAAGATTTTGACAACGATTTAATTAAAATAAAGTCAGTCGTTTTAAATTTAAGGTAGACACAAGTATGTACAACATAAATTCACAGCAAGTAAGCACGTAGTAAAAGTACAACTTGTTTTTACTGTTCTAGCTTGATGGTGACCGATCATTTGGGACTGCCTATCCAAATAGAATGGTACGATAAGTAGATAGGTAGAAATATAGATAGTTGGATAGATCTACAACTAATTAAAGATGCAGATAGAAAGTCAAATATTAGATCCATATAAAGATATGTGGACAGACTAAAGCAGCAAAGAGAGGCAGGGCAAAATAGTCAGAAACGTACAAAATGCAGGTTCACCACCCAATCTTTTGTTCTCTCAACACGCGCTGTTTTAATTTCGATGAAAAAATGTCTCATAAATAAATATGTTTCTATATTGTTTTGTATATGTTTGGGATATGTGTTTAAAGTTAAAACGACCAAGTTAAATTCTGAAGTCTAGGACTTTGTTAGTGTTTCTGCTTTACGACTGGTCATATAACCTAGTTTGATAAACGAAAGGAAATTTCTTTATTAAGGATCTTTCAATTGTTTAATTTTATTAGGAATATTCTTTGCATGATGACTTTTGGTTCGTGTTGAAATTTGAAGACGAAGCGACTAAAATTCCGACAAGAAACTTGAAAGTAAAGAAAGTAATCATAAATTTGAGGTAGAAACAGAAATTTAAAACATTATGGCACAACTTGGTTCAAGTTCTTAAACGAACAAAAATATATATACAAAAAATAATAACAATGATAAAATATATAACAATGTTTTCTAGAAATAATTAAGGTGGATTGAGTATATTCCATAAGACCTTTTTTAGTTTACTCGCTTTTTATCAATTTAGCCTGCCTATCCAGGTAGAATGGTAGGATAAATAGATAGCTAGACATATAGAAAGAAAAATAGATTTATCAGAGAATTAAGTATAGATGTATACATCACTTAACGTTCTTTTAAACGTAAAAACCGACTGAAAGGAACATTGAAACAAACCAAGAAAAAAGTCGATCCTTCATTTATTGCTGAACAGTTATTATTAGTGACATAATTAATCTCTAATCTAATAAGTAATATTACATTCCATAAATAAACATTTTTGGAAGCTACTTCGTTTTAATTTCAAAATTACATGGTTTGATTTTCTGCAGTCGGTCGCCATGCTATCCGATATCCAGGGTACCGCAATTCTTATTGATAAGTGATATTGATTTCCACAGATTATCTTTAATGGATTAAATAGAGTCAATTTTCCAACGATTAACCGTCAAAGATCGTCCGACCGCAGTTTGATGGTACCGACACCCAGCGAAAATTACATTGAAGTTGAATTAATGAAGTTTAAAGACTAAACGACGAAGATTCAGACAAGGCACATGACAATAAAGTCAGTAATTTTAAATTTAAGTAGACACAAAAGTTTAGAACATATTTGCATAGCTAGATTTGTAAAAGTATAACAATTTATTTATTGTTTATTTGTTCTAATTTGGTCGCTTCCTATCAATTTAATCTGCCTATACCTTTAGATCTGATAAAATTAGTTCACAAATAAATGCTAGATATTACTGAAATGTATGGTTCTCCATTTTATTTTTTGATTCTTTTTAACTATGAAAAAGATAAAATTTTATTTAATTAAACTATATCAGCCATGAGTGAATTATTGCCCCAGATGATTTTAATAGTCAAACAGCAGTATAAAATTATCTTGTTGTCTTTGAACTTTAATTTTCATAATTAATCCTTTTAGGTGTGCAACGTCAGTTTTAACTTAATTTCGTAAAATAAAAGGGGTATTTAGCACCTTTTAGGATGTTGAATATTAATCATTATATCGACCTGTTTTTATCATTTATGAAAAAAATTTATAAGATTAATTAATGGATATTTTTAAAAATCGGCTGACGGAAATTGAATCGAGGCAGTTGGTTGTAAGATGCATATGGGTTATTCGCAATCATCACGGAGAAATTTTCCCGATCTGTTCCTCTTCCTTCTCTCTCTTCTGTTTTAGTCCAATTTACCATTTTTGATCATAAGCACTTCCACCGTGTCATATTTTAGATAATATATAATTTAGCTATATTTGGAAGTAATTGCAGCCGTCGTTAAAGTTAAAGCCTGGCGTTTTGCAAAGCTGAACGCACCACCGGGTACACCAGGTGTTTCCTCAATCCTTTCACTGTGAAACAAATGCACTATCTACGGATCTTGAAGCTTTTTAAATTGCATTTTGCACGAAATTACCGGGAAACCGAGACCTGCCTTAATTCCGTGACAATGAAATTGACTCATGCAAATCAAGTATGAATCAGCGATAATATGCAATTTTAGCATATACGCCATGACTCAACGAAAGGCAAAGCTAAAAAAAAATTAACTTTACAGCTTGACGTATTCGATTATAAAGCCTCATTAAATGTATTATGTATATGTACGTTGTTTTCAGAAATTTCATTTAATATTACTCAGCTTTGCTAATAATACCAAACAGAACAAATAAAAAATATAAATAAATAAATTGTTATACTTTTACAAATCTAGCTGTGCAAATATGTTCTAAATTTTTGTGTCTACCTTAAATTTAAAATTACTGATTTTATTGTCAAGTGCCTTGTCTGAACCTTCGTCGTTTCGTCTTTAAATTTCATTAATTCAACTTGATGTAATTTTGGCTATGTGTCGGTAAGATCAATCTGCGATCGGGCGATCTTTGACGGTTAATTAATTATTGGAACATTGATTCTATTGAATCCATTAAAGATAATCCGTGGAAATCGATATCACCTACCAATAAGAATTGCGGTACCCTGGACATCAGATAGCGAGGCGACCGACTGTAGAGAATCAAGTCATGTAATTTTGAAATTAAAACGAAGCAGCTTTCAAAAATGTTTATTTTAGGTATGTAATATTACTTATTATATTAGAGATTAATTATGTCATTAATAATAACTGTTCAGCAATAAACAAAGCATCGACTTTTTCTTGGTTTGTTTCAATGTTCCTTTCAGTCTTTTCTGTAAAAAAGAACGTTAAGTGATGTATATATCTATACCTAATTCTCTGATAGATCTATTTATCTTTCTATATGTCTAGCTATCTATTTATCCTACCATTCTACCTGGATAGGCAGGCTAAATTGTTAGAAAGCGAGCAAGCTAAAAAAAGTCTTATTGAATATACCCAATCCACCTTAATTATTTCTATAAAAAATCGTTACGTATATATTTTCGTTCGTTTAATAACTTGAACCAAGTTGTGCCATAATGTTTTAAATTTCTGTTCCTGCCTTAAATGTATGATTACTTACTTCATGTTCAAGTGTCTTGTCAGAATTTTAGCCGCTTCGTCTTCAAATTTCGACACGAACAATAAGTCATCGTGCAAAGAATATTCCTAATAAAATTAAACAATGGAAAGATCCTTCATATAGAAATTTCTTTTCGTTTATCAATCTACGTTATGTGGAACCAGTTGTAAAGTAGAAACACCGACAAAGTCCTAGACTTCAGAATTTAACTTGGCATTTTAACTTCAAACATATACAAAATAATTTAAAAACATATTTATTTAGAAGACATTTTTTAATCAATATTAAAGCAATGCAGGTTGAGACTTTGATAGTACAAATTGGGTGGTGAACCTGCAGTTTGTACGTTTCTGACTATTTTGCCCTGCCTCTCATTGCTGCTTTAGTCTGTTCACATATCTTTATATCGATCTAATATTTGACTTTCTATCTGCCCCTTTAATTAGTTGCAGATCTATTCAACTATCTACATTTCTACCTACCTACTTACACTAAAACCGGATAGTCCAAAATGATAAGATACCACCAAGCTAGAACAATAAAAACAAATTATACTTTTACTAACCTTGCTGTGCAATTATGTTCTACATACTAAAAGGAAATCATCAAAATTCGTCATATAATAAGTTTTATTACGTTTATTTCTTGTGTTCAACAGTTCAGAAATGGCAAGCCGCTGCCAAGAACTACTTGGGATGATGTTAAACACACAAGACAAGAGTGAAATGATGATTATCTCCACACCTAAGGGTAAATCTTAAAAGATAGCGAACTTACGTTAGAATTTTCGTTTTGGGGATGGAAAAATGAATGAAAAATGAAAAACAAGAAAATATAACTTTACGGTAAAGTAGAGGGTAAAATTTTTAGATCTAACTATTGCCCGTAAGCTAACCTGGCTTTTACATATTAAATTTGCTTTAGCAAAATGTGTTAAATTGTACGAGTGTTATGGTAATTATTTACTTATATGTGAAACTATTTATTCATTATTCTGTGTTCCTTGTTTTAATTAATTAATTTATTATGTGATATGTACTTGCATATTTATATTATATAATGTGAATATGAGTGTACTATTGCTGTATGCTTAAAACAAAGCAATGTAATTTTTTTAAATTCGTTTTGGGCGTTATTCTGGAAACCTTTTTTTTGATTTTTTAATGAAGGTCCGCCAAAATCAATGTTCCATCGAAACAGCTCGTGCTTCACCACATGGTGCGCTAGGTCACAGGCGTTACGACGGTGCCTAACGATTTTTTTATTTCATTTCACAACTGTGCACAACAAATTTCGATCCTTGGCTAATTTATTTTTTTAATTTGAATACATTTAAAGAATTTTGCAACTAAAATTAAAAAGTAATTTTAATGTATTGCGTGTTAAAAATTTGGGCTTAGATCGGAAGAGTTGTTATTTAACCACTATCTCTGGAATTGTGTTGAAACTAGGAACTTCAGAGAGTTGTCGTGAGATGGCAACTGAAGTCGAGCGTTGATGACCGCCATCTGCAGAGTGCAGACCGATATTCAACGTTATCATGAACAGCAATTCTACCTCCTTTGTTTGAAAACAGTTGTGGACCTGTATCAAACTATCTACTATCAAAGTGAAACCATCAGTCTTATCCTGTTAAGGATGAACTGGGTTTCTTCCACTTTTTCGCCTCTAGATGTTCAACCGACAAAGCGACGCAAACTAGACGGCGAGTGTTTTCCCCGGGCGACATCGGCAGAAGTATGGGTCAACACATGGAAGCCGAAAAAAAAAGAAGACCTTGTTGTACATAAGAAGAAGGTCGAGGAAGTGCAGTCTTGGCTTGAATGGACGAAAAGAGGTTTCGGCTCTTCGGCACTGCTCCTTACCGGCCCACCGGGCTGTGGTAAGTTGACAACTCTTAAAGTCCTTTGCTCTTTTTTAGGCATCAACCTTGTAGAATGGATGCCTCAGGTGGCTAAGAAAAGCTATGACCCCGAGAACTTAGAATATAATCAGGGTGACGTTTCACTCTTTGAAGAGTTTGTACTGAGAGCGACTAGATATTCAAATGTTTTTAACTCACAGTCATCGAGGATGATAGTTGTTAAGGACATCCCAAACGGTTTCACAAGAGACTGCAGCCGTTTTCAAGATTTCTTAGAAAACTACACGACTCTAGATCGAGTCTATCTTTGCTTCATAACAACCGATGTTAAAATAACAAGGGAGCTGTTCAGCGAAAGCATTAAGCAGAAATATAACATAAAAACTATATCGTTCAACCCTGTTACCCAAAGATCTGTAAAAACTACCCTGGAGAAGATAGCAAAATCAAAGTTTACAGAATACATAGATGGTATAAGTTTGTCTTGCAATGGAGATCTGAGAAATGCCATCACTACTTTACAGTTCCTTTCAGTCAAAGGCGAGCTGCCGCAGAAAGGAAAAAAGGGCACGAAGGAAAACGTTAAGAAAACAGATGTGATCGACTTGTTCAAAGGGCTGGGTCGGGTGTTGTATGCGAAACGTGATGGAAATGGAAAACTGGCCCACTGTCCCGTCGAAGTCGGTGACTCGTTCACATCTTCTCCGGAACTTTTCCTCGGGATGCTTCAACAAAACTATCTCAACACTTTCTCTTCAATACACGACGCTGCAAAAGCTTCGCACAAGTTGTCCGTCAGCAATGTCATATTGTCCGACTACAAAGATACAAACACTTCTAGATCTCTGGGACTCATAATAGCTTCGCACGCTCTCATGAGCCATAACAGTAAACCTATCAAAAAGTTTCAGCAGTTTGATAAACCAAGAAAAGTAATCAGCTTATTACAAGATTCGACAATAAATAATTTTAATACCTGTGATAGTATAATTGATTTAGTGACTTTTGGTAGGCACATTCCAGCATTTACTGCTGATAATAAAGAACTCATATCAAAGTACACTTCATTTAAATAAAACTCTTATTTTTAATTGTTAAATTGCAAAATACAATATCTTTTTTAAACTGTTAATATTTTGTTAATTATTTGAACCTCTCAATCTTTAATTACAGCTTGTACTACTATATTTTTAAAAGAACAATGTTTTATATATATTTACCTATCTTCAGGGTTGTTAAGAATTAATTGATTTTAACCAACATCTTAACATCAAGCAGTTCATTTTTATTGGTATTAAATATAATTTAGAAAAAGAAATAATTTTGTCCCTTGTTATATAACTGGTAAACCATAATATCGAATAAACAGATTGAGATATTCCTTGATGGAGGTAGAATAGTATGTGTATTGCTAAATCAAGCCAAAATAAATAATAATTCATCCCTAACTTCTATAAAAACATAAAAATATTTCCACCTAGGATCGAGATATCAAATTGAACACAATTTTGTGTTTAAAGGCAAGTATTTTAGCAGACAAACATTTTTAAATACTCAGCATACTAAAAGTTGAAGGTCAATTTTTTTTAAAATTATTATTTCCTTAATTGGGTGTGGTGAGTAGTTCATCGGTGGTGGGAAGGGGTGCATGAAAAAAGGGCCAAGGGCGATGAATCTAAGCCACGAGTGGGTCTACAAGCCAAGAGTCTATCATGCTGGCCACTTGGCTACCGCAGTCCCCAATAAATTAATTAAAAGTGGTTATGTTCTGCTGTAGTTTAAAATTGACAGATCTGTTTGCCTTTAGCCTGAGACCATCATTTCGGCAAGAACAATATTATAATGAAAAATAAAGTCTGCTCCATCTCATAAAGAACCCTGAGGGTGACATTTTTTAATGTATTTATTACGATAAACAAATAATAATTCAACATTTAATTTCTGCAGACTTATTAGGAGGGGTATTTTTATTATAGTTAGTAGAATGGTAAAAAAAATATGAAAGTCTATTACTCTTGGTTAAGTAACTCTGTACAGAAAAGGTGCTTCGGCTAGGTATAGGATTGTCAAATATAATAGCTAATTATTTTGAAAATACTAAATTCTTACCTTTTCAACCAATGATGAGGCACTACACTCAACAATGTAATCACGGAGTTTGCGGCTTTTTTCTGCATCATATTGGAGTTAAGGAAATCCCATCATCATCGATATGTCACTACTCGAGGACTTGGAACATATCACAATACACTGCAACAAAAAAAGAACAATAACATTAAGCCCTCCTGAAATATATGCACGATGCAGAAAAATAAATAAAAAATGTAGAAATTAAAGAAGAAGAAATTAAGCGAAAAAGAAAAGAAAGAAAAAACAAATAAAATTAAAACCAAAAATTAACAGGAAATATTAATGGTATGGAGCCCCGGTTAATTCCTCTAATAGGGTTATGGCTAATTGGTATAACAAAGAAAAAATATAGATTTTGACATCCTAAACTCTCTTCGAATTGACAGTCCAAAATCATTAATTTTCCTGAAGGATCCTGCCTCCTCAATTGGTAAAAATATTTTAAACGTTCTTTTATAATTTTTAATTTTCCCTAGGATTGAAGACTATTCTTACTCCTATCTTCAAGAAAGGCTCCAAGACCTAGCTCTATTCCATCAATCTAATGAAAATACTTTGAAAACCTAATACTCAAAAAATTACTTATATATGACAACTTAAATAAATGCTGAAATGGCATTGAGTCATTTATTGGGTTTGTCTTCACTCGTGGGTTTGTTGAACTACTGGCATTGGACCATCTTCATAGATAAATTAAAGAATGATCACTGAAAATGGTGCAATGCCAAAACATTTGAGTAGTTGATCAAACCGTCGAGTGAATAAGTGACCCATTACTGGTTCAGCGTGAGTTCACTGCATCGTAGACCAATACTCAGCATCAATTCTAACTTAAATAAAATTATTCATTCCACTCAGCAAGGCTTTGTCTTAAAATGTTCTGTTTTTACAAACATGGTGCAAAATGTCCTTTTCAAAAAACATGGACTCAAACCTTCCAACTGATATATATACTTTGACTTTTCCAGGTCGTTTGATAGTGGACAGGCTTTTAATTTACAAACTAGAGGGGCTTGGGATACACGACACTTTCCTAAATTTCTTAAATCATACCCATCTAACAGAAGTTTTAAAGTCAAGGTTGATCAAGCATATCCTGATTTCTATTCAGCTCACTGGCTTAGCAGGATTCTGCAAGGATCAATCCTGAGTCCAATTCTATTCTTCCTTCATACTAGTGATACAAATGACAAAATTCACTGTGAAATTGGTACTTTCACAGATGATACCAAGTTGCCCCTTGACTTTAAATGAGCATTGATAAGATTGACTAGTCGCTACTTTGTGGTTTTTAAATACTCAGCAGACCAAAAGTTGAGGGAATGCAATTTTTTTTTTTTTAATTATTATTTCATCTATAGTTGGAGAGAAAGGTTGCACAAAAAAAGGGCCATGGGTGATGGCCCTTTTTATACCAGTCAGGAAAAGAAAGCCTGTCTCTTCAATTCGTGTTCAATATAAACCATTAGCCAAGATCCGATACAATAGTGCAATAGACAAAAGTTAAGGAAAAAATTGTTGATTTTAATAACAATATTTTGCGTAATTCTCAAAAAATTATTAATTTATGAGTCCATGGTTAATTTTTAGCATTCCTGCTTTTTTAGTATCAGCTTAAATTTGAAATAGGGTCTTGATTTCATGTTTATTATTTAAAATGTCTTAATGGCCTTATGTTTTTCCGTGTTATTCAGAGGACTTGTATTTTTTGGAAGAAGGGGATCACGAAATAAAATTTCAGGGCCATAGTGGGCATCGAACTCATGACCACAGGTTCTACAAGCCAAGAGTGTTCAAGCTAGCCGTGCAACTACTGCAGTAAAAGCTGGATGCTTGATCCAAGTACATATTCTGCACACTGTGGATCCAGAGGGTTACAGGGAACTTTGTTTCACAATGAAAGAACAAAATACAGTGTAACATGTGATGTTAATAATTGAGGGAAGCGTGTCATTGGAAGGATGCAGAACTCTTGGCTGAAAATCTTTAGGTGGGTGGTTACAAAAAGTCTGGGAGTTAGGGCAACTCATTTTTATCGGTTTACCACTGCATCTCTCTCCTCTCGGAAAAACCAGCGCTCAGTCTTGGCAGGCCTGCCTCCCCCTTATTACCCTTTGATTTAGCTAGGTTAACGGTGAGATTCCATTGATCGCAGCATGACTTCAGAAGACTGATTTCTTTCTGAACCCGACAATACTATCTGCTACTAAAACTATACGTTAAAATTTTAATAACAGTATCTCAACACGGAATCCAAAATCCAAGGTTGAAGGGAGGTCAAATGGAATAGGTGTGCAGTTGTATCAAAAGAGGTTATAAAGTTGCAACTTTATAAATTAGACATCTAAAGAATTCATAAATGTTAGTAATTTTTGTAAAGAATACTGTAAATAGATTGTTTATGGTGATAAAGTTATTACTTTTTAGTCTAGTAGTAAAGAAACATAGTAAATATTCCGATGAACTGTGGAAGTTTCAAGTACAGGTATCTCGGCGATAAGCCTAATTTGTTAAATATGGTAGATTGGTAGCTATGCTGGACTGCCCTCTGCAGGACGATTGTAGTTGTTATCAATTATGATCACACTAAATGGTGGGGAGTTTGGAGATAAGGTCGAAGACCGGTTGATAAACCGTTTCGTTTCAGTCAGTGACTGTAGTTTGCGATGGTAGTCGTCGACAGAAGCGAATATCCTGAGGTGGTCGAGTTCCCGGTCGATGGGCCCTCCCGGGAGAAGCTGGATCGGCTCAGGACAACTTTCTTAGAGAAGTTCGGCTCGGAGCCCCAGATCTTCACGAGGGTGCCGGGCCGGGTGAACCTGATCGGCGAACACATAGACTACTGCGGCTATTCCGTCTGTCCTATGGCTATCGAGCAGGATATCGTCATCGCGGCCTCCTCTCTCTCTGGTGACGGCCCTTTCCTCCAGGTAACCAACACCAAGGAAGAGCATAAAGGTGCCTTGATACCCGACAGGGATTTTACGTGAGTCGATATCTATACCAAAATTACAGTTATAAAAATACATCAATTTTACAGAATTTCGATTGAACTCCAAGGCTGGGTGAGTTACGTTATGTGCGGTGTAAAAGGAGCAATGTCGGTGTTGAGTTCCCCACCTGTCAGGATGGTAATGGCTGTCTCTGGAACTGTACCAGAAGGATCTGGGCTTTCAAGTTCTTCGGCACTCGTTTGCGCTTCATTCCTGACAACTACTCATCTCAACAATGTACACCTTTTACTTTTATTTGTTAATTAATAGTAGTTGGTTGAATAGCTCTAGCACTGCTTTAAGACATACTGCTCCTGTAAATTCATGTGTTCAGAGTATGATCTACACAACATTGGGGAAAGTAACAAAATTACTCTTGTCTGCACATAAGGGTGCACAGAGCAGAGGGGGAACAAGAAATTGGCCAAGGAAAATTCAATGTGAACACCTGCCCTGAACCCTTTTGTGGCTTACCAAACTGCTAAAAATGCTGATTCATTAGACACTGGATTAAAAATAAGTCCTCCACGCAATGGGAATGTATCTCGGGACAGAGGCATGCAAAAATGTTTATCAAAGGACCATTGCAGAAACTAATAGCATCTAGGATGTGCTAGAACTAGAATAATAGTTGGACTGCTACTGGATACTGCAGACTCCGGAGGCATATGCATACACTCAGTGCCAGAAACAAACTGTGCAGATATTGCCAGGAAGAAGAAACATCGGAGCACGACATCTGATGGTGCAAAGGCCTATGTAGGCTGACATTCTTATCCATGGAGAGGAAAAGTCAGGGCCAGAAAGAAAAACCTTTGGGATCTGGTCAAAAGCCTCAAGTTAACAAGGAGCTGTATATTTAAAAGCATATAAAATAAAATAAATTGAAGATGCACAATAGAGCAATATTGGTCATGTTGCACAGGTCGTAAAGTGGCATTTTGTTAGGTGTAACACTAAACATATTTTTTTTTTTTAAATCTGATCTGAACTACCTAGTGTGTCTGGTTAAAAAATAATAATAATATTAATCAATTAGCATAAGAAAAAGGTGTTGAAAACTCATGTATAATTTTTTTTCGTTACTATTTGAATATTAATTTATATTTGTTAGTTGTAGTAGCTCTTCTAGATTTCATTAATATTGTCTGGGATGATATAGTTGGCTGGAAAGAGATTAAAACAGAGAGGTTCCAAAAACTAGCAGACATTGAAATAGTAGAGCTTTACAATAAGGAAGGACCATTGACCTCTTTCCATTGGGACGCATTGTATTGCATATTACCCTGGATAATTGAGGTTCCGCTATATGTACAATACAATAGGAACAATTTAAAATTAGAGAGAACTTTTTATCAGTAAGTTCTGTCATGTTTATATTACAAGGTCAAGTACTGAATGATTGTGAAATATACTCATTAAAATATGTCAGCATTTTTAATAATTGCTAACGTTTTTATAATGCAGATCTGTGAGTGGTGTACGTACATTGGGTTTGCAGCTACTCATATTGGACTATTTTTTTGAAAAAATTTTCTATTGGTACAAACTTGATCGGCCGATGAACCTCAAGAATATATAAAAACTTTCTCTCTATTCTATTCTATTATAATATAATATAGATAAAAACAAGATATGAGTATAATAATTCAAGAATTTGGATGAAAATCGACATGAGGGAGCTGCGTGGCTAGCTTATTAGACTATTGGCTTATAGATCACAAAGTTGTGGGTTCGATTCCCATTGTTGCCTTTAAACTTTATTTCACACTCCTTCCTCCAAAAATAATAAACTAAATAAATAAACTAAAAAAACAAGGCCAGCCATTAACATTTTTTTTAATTAACCTAAATTGACCAATGTTTCAAATTTCAGTTCATACTTAAGAGGCAGGAATGTTAAATAAAATTAACTATGCACTAATAAATTAATAATTTTGTGAGAATTATAAAAATATATATAATATATTATACACAACACACATTTTTTTTTTAACCAGTTGTTCAATAATTTGTTGAAGTTGTGAAGACTGGTCAGAAATGATTTTTTTTTTTTTACATTTCTGACCAATCTTCACAACTTCAACAAATTATTGAAAAATTGGTTTAAAAAAAAAAAAATTTTAAAGGTTGGTCAGAAATGTAAAAAAAAAATCTTTAAAAATAACCCCGATATAACAAAGCAAACAGTAGCCATTAATAAAGATAAATATATGCAAAACTTCAACACAATTTTAAATGACACAAACACAAATAACATACTGAAATCTGACCCCATGTTGTCACTTATCAAACACACAATAAAATCTCACACTTCAACACAAAGAAATGGACATGCACACATATAAATCTCCCCAGAATAATTCACCCACATCCCCCAAATTGTATGGAGCTGTCAAACCCACAAACCCTGGTATGATATTCTTTGAACTTTTTATAGGTATTTCCCTGCCTTTCTTTTCTATTTTTGACCACTATCTGAAACTTGTATGAGATCGTAAGATTGATGATATTAGGATTTAGTCCCACAGATCTACCCCATCGAATCTTTGGGCTTCTCTTACGGTGTGCAATCCATGTTAAACTTTGGCCAAGAACTACTCATAGATATGACTTCTTTGGAATGCTTTATTTCTTGATTCACAGGGTTAGAGCTGTAAGATTTAGCTTCTTTTTCCTGGTTAATACACTGTTTAGACCCTTTCAGGGTTATATTTCAGTCTAGTCTTTTTGCAATAGTTTGACCATAGTCGTATTTGTCTCTGATTATTATGACCATGTTGTCTGCTTGCTCATTGTGGTTAGCTTACGTAATTTCAGATGAAGTTGAACAAGACAAAATTGTCAGAATTGAGTGCCTGCTGTGAACGGTTTATAGGGATGGAAGGAGGTGGGATGGATCAGGCTATAGCCTTCTTAGCTACAAAAGGTAAATTGCTTTAATTCCCAGATATTTTCTTCTTTTTCAGTGATAATACCTTTTTATCAGGCTGTGCTAAACATATTATGTTCAACCCCGTGAGGACGCAGGATGTTAAACTCCCACAAGAGGCTGTATTTGTAATCGGTTCTAGCCTTGTTAGGAAGAACAAAGCTGAGTCTTCTGAGTACAACACAAGGGTTGTCGAATGCAGGCTTGCTTCGCAAGTAGGTTCTTTAAATTTTGATTATAATGTTGAATGCTATACCTGGTAATGTGCTAGTTTTAGTATAATAATTTTGACCAAAAAAACTCTCCTTTACATACGTTTCTTTATTTTGCTGTGAAAATGGATTTTACTGGAGAATTATAAAACTTACAACATGTGCAAATCCAACTACTTATGATTTTAGTTAATAGCAAAGAAATGCCATTTGAACTGGAAGGAGATAAGAACAGTTGTATCAGTTCAAAATGCTCTTGGAGTCTCTTTAGACGAGCTGTTGGACCTTGTTGACAAACATCTTCACAAAGATCCTTACACAAAAGAGGAAGTTAGTCTTTTAGAAAATACAATCACTATGACTTTTAGTTTAAAAACCATTTTAATTTTAGATTTGCAAAGAATTAGAGGTTGACGAGAAAGAGCTGAATAATGTGAGCCTCACATCTAACACACTGTCGTTGACAATGTTTAAACTTCACCCAAGAATAAGTCATGTTATTTCTGAAGCTAATCGAGTTAATCTTTGGCTTAATGAAGAATCTATTGAAGGTCTGGGCCATTTGATGAACAAGTCGCACCAGTCGATGAGAGATTTGTACGAAGCGAGTGACCCCGCTTGTGACAAGTCAGTCCCTTTGGTTGTTTCTACCCAATGGAAAAATAAATTATTATTTTTTATTTTATTTTAGGCTTGTTGAAAACGCCCTATCGGCTGGAGCTCTTGGTGCAAGAATAACTGGGGCAGGATGGGGAGGATGCGTTGTAGCTCTGACAACGGCAAATCACGTCGATAAATTTCTCAAAGAACTGGAATGTTCATTTTACTCGAACTACCAGGGACCCATTGACGAAGTCCTGTTCAAAACAGAACCTCAAAACGGTGCAAACATTTTTAAGTCAAAATTGTTTTAAAGCACAATGGACTGTAAATTGTATTTTGGTCAAACATTCCAATATAATAATTCACAGTGTTATGTGAAATAATAAATAAATAATAATTAATAAATGCAATTTTTTTATTTATTTTTGTGTATATTTTAACCAAATAGGATATGTATGAAGTATAGAATGTACTTTTTTAATGCAATATTGTATGTTTATAGAAATAATAATAATTATTAATTTATTTGATTGATTATTTATTTTGAAAATTGGACAACAATTTTCTTATTTAAGAACAAAAAGGTGAATAACATTAAACTTTATGAAACTATTTTTTGGCTGTAATATAAAAAATAGACTACTATATGTTTGTTTTATATTCTTTATTTTTTTCGGACATTTTCAAGCTCCTCTCAATTTGGCTCTAAAGGAGAAATACTAACAAAACAGATAAATTACACCTTCGATCAAAAAGCGAATGCTATAAGGGTCAAATTGACAACATTTTTTGTCAAACCCTGAATCAATGTTGCTTTGAATTTCGGGTATCCAATCCATCATTCGATAATATTGATAAGAATTTTCCGGATGTTGTAAAACAGTCAGTATTTTAGATATGGACTAATCGGGACATACTAATTGTTCAGTCATCAGAATATTATTGTAGAAATTACAGTATAAAAGGATGTCACTAAATGAATATAAGTCATTAAAATACCTATAGGATTGAGTAACATTTAGGTTTAACTCGATGTTTCTGCCAGAATGTTTAATGTTGGATAGAAAATAGTGGACAAGCCATTGAAATTCCAAAAAGTCAAAGTTTGCACCTACATAGACCTTCACAAAAATATAAATGTGTATTTTTTAAATAAAAGTACACGTTTATTGTTTTTGTGAAGGTCTCTGTAGGTGCATCGACTTTTTGGAATTTCAATGACTTGTCCACTATTTTCTATCTAACATTAAACATTCTGGCAGAAACATATTCCACCATCAACCCTAAACACACTCAGTGCTGGAGGGACAGTGGTGGTGCTAGATTTCACCATCACCCATCACCTCTCACACTAACAAATACACGCATTCAAACAAAACACCTAGAATATGACTATATAAAAAAATAAAATAAAAACTATCCCTTCTAAAAATGGAACAGGGGACTCAGAAATCGACTGTCGTGCTCGAGAACCATTCGTAAATCCAGCGGCATGCCTACACGCTTTCTATATAGAGACAAGGCATGATGCATTTATTATGTGAAGCTGGGTCCCTAATATTCCCCAGAAGCCAGATGCCCAGGAGATCAACGCTACCGTACCAATGGGGTTAGGCTCTCCAATGGGCTATCGACAGCTAGGCCACTTCAGCCCAAAATGCATTCGAACTATAACCTAGCCTAATACTAATTAAATTAGATAAGTCAGTCGCACAAATAAATACATTCATACATAAAAATACATTCATGCATTGCACTCATTCTGATTAGTCGGTGGAGTACTGGAGTATTCCAACATTGACCTATACACAGTATTAATAATCTAACCTAAATTAGGGTCAATGAGGTACTTTTATAAATATTCCACCATCAACCTTAAACCCACACACTGCTAGAGGGACGATGGTGATGCTGTATTTTACCATCACACTAATAAATACATGCATTAAAACAAAACACATAGAATAAAACTATACAATTAAAAAAAAAATCCCGTCTTAAATTTGGCACCATGCCTACATGCTCTCTGAATGGAGTCAAGGCCTACATGCCTCTATTATTTGGGACACAAAACACCATTCTCTGAAAAGGGGCACCTGCATGGGCTTAAAGAATATATTCAGTCTTTCACCACAAAAGGTTGTCACTCCGCAATATGCTGACCTTTGTGTCTATAATCGGGGAGTTCACCCACCCCGTTATGTGGCCGAGTTGTTAGTATCCCCCTTAAGACAAACGCCCATAAAATCATCACTTACCTACCAATAGGCTTAGGCACCGATGAGGGCTATTACAAGCTACATTCATGCAATGCACTTATCCTGATTAGCCGGTGTAGTACTAGATATTTCTCCATCGACCTATACACAGTATTAATAATCTAGCCTAAATTAGGGATGATGAGGTTCTTTTATAAATCTTCCGCCATGAAAACAAACTCAAACTGCTGGAGGGGCGATGGTGATGCTGTATTTTGCCATCATCCGTCACACTAATAAATAGACGCATTCAACCAAAACATAGGATACAACTATGTTAAAAAAAAAAACCCATGTCTTCTGAGAAATGGAATGGGGTATCAAGAAACAAACTGCCGGGACAAAACCATTCTTAAATCCAGCGGCATGTTCTTTGTGCCAACCATTCTCTGCATAAGGGGCACTTGTGCGGGTTTAATGAATATATTATTCTCATTATTGTTTTGTATTGCGACTGAAATTTAAAGCTAAAGTTGTTCAAGAATGTGGTGACATAAGATTAAAGTTTGTTAAATTTGAAAGTAGTGTAGCCCATTATATTTAGTGGTCTGATTGACCAAATTACTTCTTTCAATTAATTATACTTTTTATCAAAAGTATTGGTTGAGATGAAAAAGTTAGCGACATGAGCGGGTTTCAAACACACGACCTTCGGCTCAATATGCCACCGCTATCGTGACTTCGATCCTCTCGGACACCCACTCCCCATCTAACCTACAACCTTTTGAAGTCATGATAGTTCAAGTGGCTAGATGTATGGCGGTGTATTGAGCCAAAAGTCAAGGGCTCATATCCGACTCGTGATACTAACTTTTTCATTTCAACCAAAACCTAACATAAAAAGATTAGTTAATGAAAGAAGTATGTGTAACATGGAAGTGTAGTAGATGGCCGAGGGAGGAAGTCAAAGTAAAACTTTCTTTCATAATCGAGACTTCTATTGTTGTTTTGTATAGTTTATTACATGATTATTATTATTTTATTATGTTTATAAAACTAAATTTACTACTAGTATAGTAAGTACTAGTATAGTAGTAAAGGGGCTTCAAGCCCCATTTGTACCTTTAAAATAAGTAAATAAAATCAAGTTTATAGTTGCAAGTCACTGTTTTGTTAATCAATTTAGCTCATTTCTTTCACTGAAGGTGTTCGGAGACTTTTTACTGTGTAAAATAGAAAATAAAGGAAAAGCTTACCTCTGTCGAGATCGGCCATTAACGATCAAATGGCATTTCCAATTTCCCGCCATATTCATGATTGAGCATGATTACCGTCGATCAGGAAAAATAAGTGCATCTTACAGCCAAATAGGCTTTTTTTATATTAGTAACAATTTGATTTCGTTTTTTTTTAACTTTTCTGACCTTTTGGTATGTCCAGAGGAAAGTGGTCCTCAAGAAGCCAATGCTGACGGCGAAAGGGGCGAATTTTCAACCGAGTCTCCCTCGCTGTATTTTCAGACTGTCGAGAACTGTTTCATTTTTTAAATTTAGGAATTTTTCCTCTACCAGCACCGTCCATTTATCCGACCATGGTACGAAAATTAATTTTTCTCGTCCTTTTCACTAAGCTTTAGTATTTTGTGTTGACACCAAATATGGCGGCATGTCGTCAGTGCTCTGCTGTGTTGTGGTAAGTGAAAAACTACTTTTTGGCCGTTTTTAAACTCCTTTCGGCCAATTTTCGACTAGAAATAATATTAATAAAGTCGAATTCGAGTTTGAAACGTTTCCATGATGAAGGGGCCGGTCTATTATCGATTTCCACTAACATAGTTTTGATTAGTTTACCCCCCCACTTTACATTAAAAAAATCTTTTTTTTTAATAAATAATTTAGACATCGGCTACTCATTTCTTATTATTTGTTCATGTTTTCGCCTCGCTGTATTATATATTTTGCTCAATGTTCATCAGGTCAGTTTTTCTAGTCACGTTTTCTGACTAGGTCGCTCTTCGACGTAGAACAAGAGGTCACAAATTAAAAATTTGTATTTTCCTTAATTCGAACATCTTCCTTTTTTTATGTTAACAGTTTTTCGCAGTACGTTCTCTGTTATTTCTGTCGGATATTGGAGAGTCGGCTTTCTCCGGCGCATAATCCCTATTTTCATTCCGCATTAAGGCTCCGGAAATAGTTAAAATTGAGGATATTGAAAATTCATACGACCGAAATCGTTCTTTTCTTTAAAAAAAAAAAGGATGATTAATATTTGTTTTTAGGTAGGACGTAAATTGTTAAAAGGACGGTCAGCCCCCTCCGTATCTGTACAGACGTGTCTTTTCCTGTTTCCTCATATCGAATCCGCCTGTAAAATAATCATCATCAAGCCCTTTCGTGCATGTGTCCCACAGAAATCCTTCAGCTATCAACTCGAACCACAATTAATTAGATTTATTTAACTTGGAAAAAGTTAATAAATAACTCGGATCTCGTATTCGAATGTCGTACGAAAGAATACTCGGCCTCTCATCTACTATTGTGTCTCCATTCAAGTCACCTGATTGACTTTAATTGGTAAATACGTAATTTCTCCCTTATCTCATTTTTAAACGTAAAAAATCAAGACTTGCGTTGAGGTTAGGACAGAACCCTCAGTATTTAATTTGTATTATTTTTATTGTAAAGTTAAAAAGTTACAAATGTTAAGAACTTGCCTGCAAGGCAGGATTGGGCTGTTCCACCTACATGACTGTTAGTCGTTCTGCATGAATTCTGTAAAACACCCTTTACATTTATAAAACAATAATTTATATCAAATCAATTAACGTTTGACAATTAAATATTCTACTATTTAGTGATGAGGTTGTGGTCAGGGTTGTGGGTGTTTCTTAATCCAAAGACAAGCTTACGCCTAAAAGATTCCTGGAGAATGACTTCAAATAAAGTTGAAAACTTGGCAGAACTGTCTTTGGATTGAGAACATTAACGCTGGCCATAACGTCGATAGCTACATTACCATAATTATAATTGTTAGTCAATACTATCAATAGTTTCAATTACTTATTCTTTTTATGTAACGTCTTGGTTGAGATGAAAAAGTTAGTATAGCAAGCAGGATTCGAACCCACGGCCTTTGGCTCATTACGCCGTTGCTCTAACTGCTTGAATCAATTGTGAAGTCACGTGAAGTTCAAATCCCACTTGCGACACTAACTTTTTCATCTCAACCAAAACTTTACATAAAAAGAATAATTAATTGAAATAAGTAATTTGGTCAATTAGTCCACTGAACATAAATGGATTACTATCAATAATTAGTTAATATGTGCACTTTAGGAATAAATAATGTATATCTACTATCATCATCATCCATGGTGCTACATTCTGCTACGAGCGCCAGTCTCATTGTATCAAATAACTCCAGTCAGATTAATATAGAAAAAACACAATTTATTGAAAAAAATCAGATCATTGTTAATGGCAATACACCCCACTTGCAGGAGTCAGTCTCCTTGCATAAAATAAACTCACTGTTTAAAACACACCGTTAAACCTGCTCTAAATCAAAACCTAATGTTTTACTGAGAAAATAGTGGAAAAAAACCTTGTATTTGATTAGGGAAGAATTTAATTTTGAATAGCACCATCATCATCAGTGGCTTTACATTCCACTTATAGGAGTCAGTCTCCTTGCATCAAATGAACTCAGAAAGTACTTTATGTAAAAAGCACAGTTAAACTTGCTCTAAATCAGAGTCTAATGTTTTACAGAGAAAATAGTGATAAAATCCTTGTATTTGATTAGGGAAGAATTTAATTTCAAATAGCACCTACATCATAAATGGCTTTACATCCCACTTATCAGTCTCATTACTTCAAATAAACTCAGAAATATTTATTTGTCAAAAGTACTGTTGATCTAGCTCTAAATTAAAATATAATGTATTACAGATAAAATAGTAAATTTCTTGATTTAATTGGGGAATAATTTAACTTCAAATAGCACCATCAATTTCAATGGCTTTACATCCCACTAATCCACAGTTTCCTTGCTTTGAATAAACTTGGACAGAATAGTATATACAAAAGCACTGTTAAACTAATTCTAAATCAATTGTTTTACAGATCAGTTAGTAAATTCCTTGATTAAACCGTTTCATCATATAAAGGTCAGACTCCAAGCACCAAATAAACTTGGACAGAATATCAAAAGCCCAGATAAACTAGCTTCAAATCTACATCTAAGGTTTTATATTTTAAATAATAATTCCCTTCATTTTATTGGGGAAAATTTTTAACTTCAAATAGCACCATTATCAGTGGTTTTACATTCTAACGGGCATCAGTCTACTTCCATCAAATAAACATAATATGTACAAAGCTCTGTTAAACTAGCTCCAAATCAAAATCTGTTGTTTACAGATTAATTAGTAAAATCCTTGATTTGATTGGTGAATAATTTCATTCCAAATAGCACCAACATCATCAGTGGTTTTATATCCACTTGCAGGCGTCAGTCTCCTTGTATCAAATAAACTCTGTCAGAATAATATATAAAACCCACAATTAAACTTGCTCTAAAGATAAAGTAAATTCCTTGATTTGATTGGTAATGATTTATCCCAAATAGCACTACTAGCGATTATTTAATTAGTTATATGTTTATTATTAATTATTATTTCCAGTTTTTCTTCTCAACCATCTTTGCATAACCACAAGCAATGACACTACAGTCTTCTTCCTGGTCCTTGGCTTCCATTTATCATAAATACTTGGACAGGATAACATTAAAAGTCCAGTTTACTTAGTTTTAAAATGAATCTTTTTATTTTACAGATGACGTTAAAAGTTACTTGTTGATTTGATTTGGGAATAATTTAATTTCAATTGTGCCATTATCATCAATGGCAGTACTGAACTGCCTGGCCCCTGGTTTCCTTGAATCATAAGTACTTGGTCAGAATTATGTTAAAGAGTTTAACTAATAGTATTATTTACACGACATATTACAGATGAAATTAATAGTAAATTTACTTTTTTGGTTGGAGAAAAAATAAGGAAAGTAATACATTAATATTTAAGATATACATTCTGTAAGTAAAGTATAAATAAAATCATCAAATTGATAAATAAGTGTTGGTCAAAAAACATCGATAATTACCTTCCTGTTAATTGTGTGGATCGTACAGCTGTAAGATGCCACAATTTTTGTATAAGGGCAAATAAATTAAAAAAAGGAGTTGTAAATGTAGTAGTTATAAGTTCAGATAAGATTTGCTCTCAGGGACTGAAGTCACAATGGCTCAGTGACAATCGGAGTAGTGACCAAAAGACAGGCTTTCACATCCGTTCCTCACATTTCTTAACTGTTTATATACACCATCTACCTTAAAAAAGTATACATAAAATCATCAATTGATAAATGATGTTCAAATAACATAGATGAATACTTACTGATAATTTTGTGGATTGTACGAGCAACTACCAAAAGCTTAGTATGATGTTAAAAGAAAAAAGGAAAAAAAAAGAGTTTTATATTTATAAGGTTGAAATGAGTAGATGAACTCTCAGAGACCAAGTCACAGAGGATCAATGACAAAATATAACGAGGGCTGATCTGAACGTTGGCTTGAGTCTCACCCATGACACATCTTTTCATCTCAATTGTTAATTGTTTGTAATACCATATGCCTTAAAAAGTATAAACAAAGATAAATAAAATCATCAATAAATTGGTATATCACTAATCAGTACAAAAATAGTATTTTTGAGTTCAACACTGATAGTCTAGAACAGGGGTCGCCGACCTTTTTCGGACGGCGGGCCATTTTCAAAATAAATTTTTTTATGCGGGCCGCACATTCAAATCTAACTTAAATAGTGCTTTTATATCATATACGAGTATAAATATTATTATGGGGAGTGGGGATTAAACTTGCACAGTAAAATAGGTTTCCCACTATGCTTCCGTTAGCGCGCATTTTTGTCACCAGCCACATTTCGGCACGCTCACGCTCTAAGTTTGTTGATTTTTCCTAAAATTATATTGGGCTTTGGCGGGCCGCGCAAAAAGTTGCAAAGGGCCGCAGGTTGTCGACCCCTGGTCTAGAAGTCTAAGGGCATTTTTTCTTCGTTTTAAAGTTTCAATGCATCATACTTGCTTAATAAAGAACTGTGGATGAGGCATAGGCTAATTGTCCAATTTATTTTATTTATTTATTTTTTTGGTTCGTTTTCAATTCAAAACTTTAATCCCCTTTCGTTGAAACTTCTAAGCATTAGATACGAAGCTCTCTTGTTTGAATGACAAGTTAAAAGTAAAAACGTAGAAATTGCTTGACTTGACACAATTTGTCAGAAATGGTTCTTTGCATAACCAACACAAGTTTACAGAATAGGGAAAATATTGTGTAGATTTCCAATTAATTATTCTTTTTCATCTCAACCAAGACCTTACATAAAAAAGAATAATTAATTGAAATAAGAAATTTGGTTAATTAGATCACTAAACATAAATAGATTAATACTGTAGATTGTTGAAATTAGAAGGTGTTATACTGCATCTTTCAAGAGCTGTTATGACTCCAACTTATTTCAAATGTTCAATGCTCTGTCAAAAAACATGTTAAAAATATCAGTTTCTTCCTCTTTATTTTTATATGTTCTGATATTTCTTTGCTTTCAAAATTTGTTTGATTTTTAGATTGCCTATGTTAAGTAGATTTAAATTGTTTAGTATACTCAACTTACCTTCTTTTCTAAAAGTTTTAACTGATTGTATGGATAATTCCATATGCCACAGGTTCCAAGAAGGTCCTATCAACAGTTTAGAAACTAATCCTTTCAAATGTATCCACTTGTTCATTTCTGTCAATTTATGTTCTGGTACCTGGCGATGACTGTTTTATGTTCATATTTTGTTTAGTTTCAAAGATATTTTCTAGCTAATAATTTTAGCTGGGCCTGTCTGACATTATAGTTACTCTTTTATTATATTTTTGTTTTCTGTTTATACTCAATTGTCATCTTTCAAATTACTTTTACTTGCCAAAAACTCTTGCCATTCTAGATCCTTTATTGCACTTCCTCATTATAATTTCCTTTAATGGAAGGCGTTTTCTTCATTTTCCATTTTCTTTTATTACTTTGGTGGGTTCTCTCAACAGGACGGTCCATTTAATCCTTAATTTTTCTGTAGTCCCTTTTTTTGACTGTAAAACAGAGACATTTAAAAAAAATGAATTTGTTTGTTTGTGAACTTGTGCTAGGAGTTTGAAATTTGTTGGTCTAGTTGCCTTATCTCGTCTTGTCATAAATCAACGGGTAACTAGAGATTCCATTTAAATTGATTTACATTTCTTTCAAGAAGTGCAATAATTCAAATACATGGAACAGCAAACCCAACTTGTTAACCACATGCATGTATGTGGGAAGCTAAACCTCTCACTTCTCCTAGCCCACCGGTAATTACAGCTTTTCTAATTTAATAAATTACCAGCAGGATTTGAGAATCCCTGGGTATTATCAGTCTGGGATAAATCTTATCTCCCACTGAGGGTGGGTAGTCCAGGTGCAATCAACAGCTAGGTCATTTCAGGCCCCAATGTTTACAGATCTCTCGTATTCTTAAATCCATTCTTTTTTATTTACAGACCATTCATTCAGGCTGGTGGAGGACTATCGTCCTCCATGGCCCTTTAACTACATAACTAATCTAATTGAGAGTTTATAAGGTACTCAATATTCTGCCATTGGGCCTCTCACTTTACATGTTCACACTAATACATACTTTGACTGTCAACACACACAATACTATCAGTACTATGTACAATAAAACAACCCTCTTTCCTGCAAGAATCAGAACGAGGTCCCAGATACTCGCTGTCCTGCTAAATAAAAATTCTTGTCAGGTTGCATTTCTTTGCGCTCTCTATATGGAGCTAAGGAATAGCAATTTAAAGTGGGACACATCAAGCAACCTATGTTTACATGCCGAATATATACTTGGGCTTTGACCCAAAAATTGGCATACGTGTGTCAACCTTCCTTACCCTATTCTTAATCAGGCCAGGAAGAAGATGTACAGTAGTATATTGAAATTTTCGGATCTTTTGAATATAAGGGTGTTTGAGATGAATGTATGGCAAAGCAGACCAGACCAAACAACAGTTTTTTAAGATGAGGAAAACAGACTCTAAAAAAGCAATTTGAAGAATATATTCTGTTTTATCAAAAATCCCATTACACAAAATAACAAACTAATTTTATTGCAAAAGCTATTGTGCATCTAATAGATTCAAGGTGAAGAAAATCCGTCTATCTTTTCAAATTGTTCAAAAGCAACTTCTTTCTAGAAGGATAAAACCTGAAACAACTTGAAAATATGCTAAATATAGTATTGTCATAATGAATGACCTCTAAACCTCGGTTGTCTTTAATTATGTGTGTACCTTGATTTAAAATTGTTTGCAGTTTGATGGATTTTGTCTGAAAAAATCATCCATTCTGGTATAAAGCTCTTTAATTGTTTGTGAAGCTTAATTCATGTTTAGTCAGCTAGTATTTATTTGAACCTGCTAGGTAAAAAATGTTTTTGTAAAAAGAAAGAAATTAAGAAATTTAATATGTTTTTTTGTTTTAATAAAAAATTGTATATTTAAACAAAAAAATTGTTTTGTTTCAGCTTGTGTAACTGTTAGAATAGGAAACGTTAAAAAAATTGAAGCAACGATCAAGAATTGCAAAAGAAACGACAAAACAAAAAACAAAAAGGACAACACAAACGAACCCAGCAAGCATTGAAGACATCTGAGGATTAATTAACCAATTTAGTTTCTAGTTAATTTTACCAAGACGTCAAATTCCTCACTTTACAATTTCAATTTAAAGAAATTGTATAAAAAGAAAGCTTAAGTGTTAAATTTGCTTTTTCTTATGTATTATCTCTTAGCGATAAATATAAAGGAAGAGAATAATATCTTGTAATTGTTAATTTTCCCTCTTGGCTTTCAGCCGAGGGGATTTTGTGAACCATATAAGATTGGAATAGTGGCTTTATTTATATTTTAAGGAAGTCTATTCTGTGATAAATTATAAGTGACGATTCTAGTTATAATAACGTGTGACAAAACTATAATAAAAATAATATAAAAAAAATAAAATAAGTCCTTAAGAGAAACAAAAAACAAAAAAAATAAAAATAATATAAAAAAAACAAAAAAAAAAGTTTTAAGTTCTAATTTAAGATAAGTAAAATCAACCAAACTCGAGAATGTCAAACAATCCTCAGTGGAAATCTTTCCAGCCGCCAAATCTATCAGACACTTCGATCATAGACTTCAAGCCAATGCGGGGTGGAGGTTACCAACGAGGGTACAGCGATTCTTATGATCCATTAGTGAAGGACATGGCTAATAATTTATTTTCGCAATCGCACAACTTCAGTAATTACAATGTATTTGGAGGAGCAAACAACTCGAGCCAGCCGAGCGATAATTCTACAATGGGAGGAAGGTAAGCGATTAAATTTTCATTGATATTGTTTATGCAACTACCTCATAAGTATTTACATCAGCAGTTTTAATGGGCATACACAACTAATTACATTTATTATAATAACTCATCAAATGTTATGCATGTTGCAACCATGAACTAAATTAATACTTTCATTTTAAAATTTTATAAGGCAAAATATAAAAAAAAAATCTTTCTAACTGCCACAGTGACTTCACTACATACTTATTCTAAAGAGAATTTTCGTGTGATAACTAATTAAAATGTATATAACTATGGAGTGTTCGTATGTACTTTGTACTTGTTACATAGTACTTAGGGTGTAACTTGTTGAGGTAAGCCACTTACACATGTGAGACAACTTGCTTCACATTTCAAAGGCTTCTCCTTATTCAGGCCCAGAAACATTTTGGTTTTTGGTGTCTGACTTCTACAGTTAAAAGAAAGGCCTTGTAGCGTAGGGTTTTATGAAACAAATCAGCCAAGTTCATAAAACTTCAAGTTTAATGCAATTCAAAGCGATTCGGGCTTCCTCTTCAAAATTGTTAAGAGTTCAAAAACGACCCTCTACCACGATTAGGACTCATTTTTATACTGTAGTTCTGAAGAGGAAGCCCGAAAGGCTTTAATATGCAGAAAAATTGACATTATATAATTGGTTTGTTTTATTGACTATAACCCCACACATTATCTGGATGTTTTTCTTTATTTATATTTTATTTTGTTTTCATTTTTTTCAGGTTCCCAATCGGTACTTTCATGGGTACAGAAGGTACAGAACTGTACAATGGTGATTCTTCTGGTTCAAACAATACGTTTAACATGAGCAATAATACTAATAATATTTATACAGATACGACACTTAATAATCAAGGCCCAAGGGAAACTGGTATTATTGAAAAGCTCTTGGTATGTCATCATTCCAATAGTATTTCTTTTACAGGTCAATTTTGTTTTACTTATGTGATATGTTCTATTTGTTCCAGCATTCTTACGGATTCATCCAATGCTGTGAACGCCAGGCACGTCTGTTCTTTCACTTCAGCCAGTTCGACGGCAACATTGAACATTTGAAAATTGGCGATCCAGTTGAATTTGAAATGACTTACGACAAAAGGACTGGTAAACCAATAGCAAGTTCAGTTTCAAAAATTGCACCTGAAGTGGTAAGTTTAAATTTTTAATCAATGGATCTCGCCTCAGGCATAAAAAAATTCTCTAGTATCAATTATTTTGGATTAAGATTAGGATTAAAGTAGGAGTCAGCCTCTTTACAACCTGTGCATCTCCATTTTGTCTAGAGCTTCTCGTTAAGCTTTTACCAGATCCCTGGTTTTTCAAGGACTCCTGAGCATATCCTTCAGGCCCGGACTTTTCGTTAGCAGTCTGTTATTCTAGTCCTAACAAGTCGTAGGTTTAATAGTTCTGCGGTGTTTCTATGATTCTTTGATGAAATTTTTATCTGTCCTAGGCTACCTTTCCATTAAACAGAATATTTATTTTTTATCCATTGTCTAATGTATCCGTGTTTTTGGCAGTTTGGTAAGCCACAAAAGGTTCAGGGCCTGATGTATCATCTAACTTTCCTTAGGCAATTTATCAGCCTCATCGTTTCCCTTTGTAATCAGACAAGAGTAATTTTGTGACGTAATGTAATCCTAAACAACTCTCGACATTACCACTGATGCGGTGTCCTCAGCGTCGCCTGGCTGTTGGTTAGCAATACCTAGCCTTTTAATCTCTTTGGCACAGTGTTCAATAGCCAGTCTTCACTCAAAAGACAGTGGCATGTTGCTCAAGGCTTGGGGTTCTTGGAGCTCCTTGGCATCACTTTCTTCGAGTCTGCTCTATCAGGTATTTTAATTTGAATTTTTTTAAAATCAAATCTGAATTTAGGGACTCTCCAGAGCACTGTCTGCCTTAGCCCAGATGGTCCACAGGAACCGAATTGGACCGAGTAAAATTCGGCCGTGTGTGGTCTAATATGACTGAATGATCTAGCAACAAGAGAAAGACTCCGTGTTCTGCTATTTAAGGCATGATTCCATGAAGATGGGTTTTTTCAGTCCCGCTTAGTCAAATTGTTGTTCGACAAGGGGAGTTAAGTACATATTTTGAGTTTTTTTCCATTTACTTCAACATAGACACCAAAAAACGTTCGTCTCATATAGCAGGAAGTGTCCAATAACAATAACATATCCACCACATCCATTTCGATTATTTCTGTGATTGGATTGGTATCTGTCAGCATGGTATCAGTGGTTGTTTGATCAGTTCCTCTGCCGAATGTCTGTTGATAAGGCCGAAGATGGCCAGATGAATATTTGGCCGTTAACGGTTTCAGTGGAAGGCAAGCCTGAAACTACTTGTTATAAGAGTTGGTATTATTGGAAAGTCCCTGATTAGCCTACAAATTGTTGCTTTGGCCTTTCCCTGGATTGAGATATGTAGTGGTAGTCAATTCAGAGGACTTCCAGGGCAGCAATTGGTGGTGTTTTGGATTTTTTTAAAAATAAATTCGGCACTTTTGTTTAGAATTCCTATTGTGTTAATTTCATGTTTTGTTCATGTAAAACTAATAAAAAAAAATCTAAACAACAATTAAATAGTTACACGATTACGTTAAATCAAATAGATGTTATCTGCGTATTATGAATTTGTCCTTTTAAATTAATTTACCACAAATTATAATGTTATTCCTTACTTGTTAATGCAACTTGTTCCAGTTATAACATTGCTATATTATAAGTTATCAATACGTTGTCAGTAATAAAACTGTAATTTGTGTGTTTAGGTTTAGACTGGTTTCAGGTTTAATGTGATAACCCTTTATTATAAGACATATCTTTATCATTAAAAATTGATCTTTTTTGGGAGGGTGAATTGAATATTATTCAATAATAAGAATTAAAATATATTAAAATGTTTGTCATAATTAATTTTCTTGTTACAATTATGTATTTTTAATGGCATTCTGTGTGACCTATAAATAGAGCAATTATTGCTAAATGATTAGGCAGGCTGTTAGTCAGCTGATAAGGAAGAGCTGAATAATGTTTATTGGAAAACTGTGCTTCAGTCTGAGGTTTCTTAGGCTTTTTAACAATTTCAGCAACATTTTATTTTATTTTGAGAAGTTATAGGACATGGAAGTGGTTGGTATTATTTAATTGATCACATTCATTGTCAATTTGAAGGTTGTTCATTAGAGCAGTGATGACTTTGTTTAAAATAAAAACATGATTGAAACATTTACAACCTCTTCTAAATTACTCTTTGTTTCGATTTAAATCAAATGAATTATTATAACAATTAATGTGTAAATTTGATTTTTGTTATATATTCTACGACAATTACATAAATTTAGAAGATGTCTGAGGTGTAGTATCCAGAAGTTTTGTCATAGTTTCCAGTGGAATTTTGTTTAAATTGGATTGTGCAATTGAAGGTTTTGAGTGAAGAGAGAGTAACTGGCACTGTAACTACTGAACTGCGCATTGACGGTTCGACTGCAGGTGGGGATGTCCAGGGGCGAATTTCATATGAAAACCGAGGCGAGTGCTTCTTTTTGCCCTACAACAAAGATGATGTCGAAGGGAACGTAACGCTTAGAACGGGTGACAAGGTTTCATTTCAGATAGCAACTAATCCAAGGTAATTAGGATGATATAAAATTTGTAGTACTCAAGTGTTACTTTGTTATTTAATCTTCTAGGGGTAACTTGGGTGCTACTCACGTTCGTCTTGAAAATCCAGCACATCCAGTGAAATATCAAGGTGTGGTCTGTTCAATGAAAGAGTCCTTTGGGTTCATCGAAAGAGCCGAAGTTGTAAAAGAAATTTTCTTTCATTTCTCCGAGGCGAAGACTAAAGAGCCTTTACAATTAGGGGATGATGTCGAATTCACAATACAAACAAGGAACGTAAGTACAAAATTTTCTCTGAGTTTTAATTTTAATTTTGTCATCAATTTGCAGATCTATGTTATCAGTAGTTTATCACAAAATCTCCCTCTTTCTCAACAACTTATTATTCTCAACGGGAATTATTTTCCTTTATTCACTTATGCTTCATCAACTTAATAGTAACATTTTGTTTTAGTTCGGTTTAGTTGACATTGTAGCCTGATCTAAGTTTTGACAGTTTTTTCCTTAGAAAAATCAATACTTGGTGTTTTAATGTTACCACATTATTGCAAAAAGTTTCTTGTTGAAACGATGTTCTGTAATATTACACTGGTGGAAAAATAATGCAGGTTTTGAAAAGACACTTAAAACTATTTTTAATTTTTATAAAATAAAGAAAATTTATTAGATATATTTTCCATCACAATCTTTACTACAGTTACCTTTGCTAACATATAATAAACTTTTTTTCAATTTCTTGGCAATATTTCTCTGCTGTGATAAGTTTCACCATAATTCAGGAAATTATAGTGAACAATCCCCAGCCGTACAGCACCAGTCACCATAACCTTTTTTCGGTGTAGATTTGGTTTCAGGAAGTGTTCTGGCACTTCATCCGTGTCCAACCACAGGCCTGTACACCTCCTGTCTTAATACAGAATCCATTTTTCATTGCACATGTTGTCAAAAGACAGTTAATTTTGGCCTGTCAGACCCAGCACCGAAGAAGTTGAGCCAAACCAGCCTATGATAGGCAGAACAAAATGATCAATAGAAATAATTGAAGTGGTTGAGTTCACTGAAATTCATTGGTTGTAAAGGATAGTTTTGCTCACAAACTGGTTTAAAAGCTGGGTTTCCATTGCGCTAAGAAATCACTCATGAACCAAACATGAGAATCACTCGTGAAATGCTGTCTTGGTTAACCATTTCCAAGAGGCAAAACAACTCACAACCTAGAGACGAAGCAAGATGAGGCTTTAGTTTGCCCGAGACATGCCGCTAAAACTGCTGCATGCTGCATCAGTTTTCTATCTTGGCGATGCTTTTTGTTGCCCTTTTGTCTTTGTCCCATTTTTATGTTCATTTCCTTCCACACATCCTCTTGTTACGAAGAGTTTTATCTTTAGCATCCCACAAATATCAGTAGGTGAGATAAATTTGGTAATTTCGGATAAATCGAATGCAGTCTTCCTGGTTCATTGTCCTATTAGAGACAAGTGCGTTTACACAGAGAGAAATAAACAATGTGAAAACACTTCGGTGCACACTGAGCTCACTCTGTCACTCCGAAACAACCTTACTTCAAAAGTTCAGTGATTTTCACGCAGTGGAAACCCAGCTTAATAGCTTTGGATTTCGGGTATTAAATACTCATTGTTAGGCTAAAACATAATTCATTTTATTATTTAGTACATTAGAACTATCCTTTCCGATCAGCAAAATGATCAGTAACGACCAAACTACTCATCTATTACAATTGACAGTGGAGTCTGTGAGTCGAGGTCTCATGTTGCCCAGGGTCAGTTGCTGGGTCAGTCTCCACTCACGCATTTGAATAACTCAAAAACCCGCGTGTGTAGACAGATCCAGTAAGTGACCTGTGTCGGTTTAACATGAGTACTCATGAATTGTTGATCACGATGAATCACTACTGTTATATTTTGTCTTGTTTGGCTTGACAGTATTTCTGAAATATAATTTCTTCGTATAATTCTTATTAAATAGTCATATCACTGTTGTACCGTAGAAAATTATTGGGCACGTGTAAATTATTTTAGGCAATGTCAAGGTCTTAAAGCCATAAGGTCTCGTTTATTGTAGGAGAAAAATAATGTTTAAAAAAATCGTTTGTGCGTGGTTATTTAGTGGCTCATTTGTATAATTTTCTTAAATTACATATGCTGTACATACATACAAAATATCAAATAGTATATTTCATTCGTAAAAATTACAGTGAAATTTCACATTTGATTTTTTGTTTTAAATTTTACATAAGGCCACAAACAAATGTTCTAATGAATGATTTTGCATTTGATTGATTAACCCACCTATTGTGGTTGTTGATTAAACATGCATTGTTGCAGGCTATGTACAATTGTTTTTGCATGCATGGCATATACATTCTTGGATGTAGAGAATGTAGAAAAAAATCCATTAAATTTAAGATACCGTTTGTTTAAAGTTGATTGAAATTGACTCTTGTCATCTGTTGATCTAATAATTTGTGTTTTATTGTAGTTTAAAGTTGTGCCTATAAAATATATCAATAAATACATAACTTATTGCAATTTTATTAGGGAAAAGAAGTTGCATGTAACATTACAACTCTCCCTACCGGAACTGTTGTTTTCGAAGATGTTTGCAATGAGACAATTAAAGGGCAGGTCTTGAAACCTATTGAAAGAGGACAACCTAGACATCAAAATACAGATTCGCTCCCTGGTAGAATTCGATACAGGGCTCCAGATCACAGTGAGGTGGAAGTCCCTTTTGGTGACAAGGACCAACAAGGAGATTTCACATTGAGGTACTCATTTTATGTATCTTATATTTATGTATGTTGACTACCCTTTGCTGAATTGAATAGATAGTTTAAAACGACGCTTCCACCAGGGTAGAAGAGGAGGTGTCGACGTAGTCAACATGTTAAAGATTTTTTAGTTTAATAACTATGTATATATTTGTACTTATTAGTACATAATGGCACTTGTTTTTTCCAGACATGGTGATTGGGTTGAGTTTAGGATAGCGACTGACAGACGTGATCAGCTCCAGAGAGCTACAAACATATCCCTCCTCCTAGAGTCTTTTGCGGTTTCTGGTGAACGGCGAGAGCAGGGGGCTATAGCTGCAGTCAAAGATAATTTTGGTTTTATTCGTTGTGCTGATAGGGATGCTAGGATTTATTTTCATTTTAATGAAGTTTTGGATGTAGATGCAAATATTAGTGTTGATCAAGAAGTTGAATTCACAGTAGTTCAGGTGAGGAATATTTTTTTTACTAATAAACTTACATAACTGTCTTGTTTTTGTTCTATAAAAATCAAGTTTTATTTTAAATATTTAATTTTTTTTTCTTTATAAAACTAGTGTGTAAAAATTTATTAATAGAAGTTAGATAAGAAAGCAAGATAAGTGACTCATTGACAAACTCAGGGTCAGCAGTTTTAGAATGACGACTTGTTTGTGAAATCATGATGCATAATAATGAAATCTAGTGAAAATTGATTTAATTACCACGCCCGTGTTACAGTGAATATAACGTTCATTGTTTATAATTTCATTTAAAGGATCCAATGACAAATTTCACAAACCAGAAAATGTGTGCTGCAATACGGATTAAAATGCTTCCTCCAAAGACAGTCATTTTTGAAACGATGGTAGAAAAAAATTGCGAAGGACTTGTAACCAAAGAGGCAAGTTGGAACGGGCGTTCCCCGACTAAAAATAACGGATCAGTAGAAAAACCAAGCGACAATAATGGTCTAATTCTTTACACCAGTAAAGACGGCACAAAAAAGAGCATCAGCTTTAGTCCAAAGACTTGTATCGGACCTAATCTTCCTGCTCTTGGTGATAAGGTGACTTTTCTTATAAACAAAGACTCGATGAACCCTAGGTCTAATACAAGAGTATTTCTTTAAGGTGGAATTCAATGTGAATCAAGTGAAACGGACAAAAGAATTGAAAGCAGTCGATGTTAGGTTAGAAACATCTGGGAATAACTCACCAAATGGGATTTTACTTCCAACTCCATCCAATGCTTCTTTTGTTCCAAATAATAACAATATTAACAATGGTGTACGAAACGGTAACCATTCAACACATCAGGGATACATAGCAGCATTAAAAGATGGCTTTGGCTTCATAGAAACAGACACTCATGATAATGAAGTCTTCTTCCACTTCAGGTAATTTGTTATGTACATTTTATTTAGCATGTAAAATCATTGTTTCTCAAGCTTATTCATATGGGTGCTTTTTAAAGTTTTTTTAGTAAAAAAACAAAACATTCATTTGTGTATTTCTAACTAGAATATAATTTATGACAAGTAATTTGGTGCAAATGAAGCAATCTCTCACTATGATGTAATTCTTGTACGTAAATTACTGAGAAAGAGAAAGGTTTTAAAGCTCATCTCAATGTAATTGTTTGTTTTTCTCGTTATCTCATTAGAAACTTCTTTACAATGGAACATGTGCCTAGTAATTTTACAGTTATTGTTCCTCTAAGGGGGAAAAAAACCAATGAGTATTATCAATAAATAATTTTTTTCAGTAATTTTAACGGAGGAATATCTAACTTGGAATTAGGATCAGAAGTTGAGTATACCGTCAGCTCACGCACAAGTGTCGGGGGTTGCTGTGCTTCTGCTGAAAATGTAGTACTCCTTCCAAAAGGGACAATAAATCCAAACGTGACAGTATGCGAGGAGTTACTTTCTGGAAAAATAGCCAGACCGTTGAGGAGCGTGAACCCAGAACAGTCAACATATCCTGGTCTGATTAAAACTTCAGCACTTACAGGTAATTACAACATTTTTATTATTAAAAAAAATAAGAATAATAAAAAAATTAAAAAACAAAAAATCTACAGAGGGAGAAGAAGGAGCTGAGTATGAATTCGGTATAACTGGATTAGCAAATAAAAGGGAGTTGCTCCAAGTAGGAGATGCAGTGCAGTTCCAGGTGGATAGTGAAGGTCGTGCTGTAAACATAGTTGCCATAAGAAAAAAGAAAAAGTCAACTGTAGATTCTATTAAAGGTGAGTACTTAACTGAGTTTAACAAATAAATTCTAGTAAAAACATAATAGATTAAGGATATAAAAATCCAAGAAATCCGTGATGATTTTGTTTTTTGGTGGTTTTGGACTATTGGCAATGGCTTCTTTCAGTCAAGCTAGAGTAGGTGTGAGTGGAGCAATTACAACAATCCAGAGTGCAATTCCTAATTAAAGTCTGTTGGAAGGGATGCATGTTAGTTTGTGGGGTGTTAAGCAAAATTTGCCGTGTGGGCTGCTGAAAATGAGCTGATAACTTGAAAAAGAAATGAAGGTGGGATGAGTATGTAGATATTTTTGGTGAACAAAAAACCTTTGAGTATAACCATCATTTTCAAAAAGTAAAAAATAAATAAATAAAAAATAACTTGAAATGCACAAAAAATAAAAACCACCCTGGATTTCTTGGATTGTTTTATACCCTTCATCTATTCTTTAATCGTGGACAATGAAATAAATTTTTAATGTTATTTTAGGTCAATTTGGTTTTTTGTCTTACGAACTTGAAGAAGGCAAAAAATTGTTTTTCCATATGACTGAAGTTAAAGATGGAGGGGTTAATTTACAACAAGGTGACAGTGTTGAGTTTGTTGTGGTAACAAATCAGAGAACTGGAAAATCGTTTGCTTGCAACGTTACTAAAATTGCGTAAGTACCTTAATTGTATTTAGCCTTCTTAATACTTGCATATTCGAGTGTGATGTCAACTAAAATAAATGTACTTATAAAAGTATCGCCAAAAAGAAATTTTGTTGTGTCAACTGATTTTTGTTCTCCTAAAAGACAAAATAAATATCGGATTAGCTTGTATGCTTATAGAGCATTGACTAGGAAGTGTGATGTTTGGAAATATTTGCAAGTCGGTTGTTTGTTTTTACTAAAAATGCATCAAGACAATTGAAAAATTATTTTTCTATATATAAGAAAACAATACAATTGACAAAAATAAGACAATCCTAAGCATGAGTACAGTTAGTATATCTTTGATTATACAGGATTTAATATTGTTTAAATAGTGCTTTAATTTCTTGGATTTTTAGATTAATCCAACCCTATTTAAAAATACACATTGTAAAAATTGCTATTAATAGTAAATCCTTTGTATTAATTTAGCGAGTATTAAGGAAAATTTTATCTTTTATTTTTTCACCAGACTTGGAAATAACATTGGGCATCATTGAAGCAGAACTGACGTATTAATTTTTCAGTAAGGAATTGTTTTTAACATGAGATATGGTACACTTTTTAGAAGGGTATATTTATGTTAGATGAAAGAAAATATGAATTGAATTTGAACGAATATAAACAAGTAATTTTCTCTTTCTCTAGAAGGTTACATGGTGCGTGAGAATTCCCAACGGAAAATAGGATAATGCCGGGGATAATAAAATTGTCCGGGAAGCTCGATTACATTACAGAAAAAAAGATCATTCTATTATAATTCCAAACATCAAGTAGGGGTGTAGTGGCCACAATGGTTAAGGCAGTCACTTAACGCATTGAAAATGGTGACTCTTCAACCAGGCCAGTGACACTGAATATTTCTTCCCTTCAAAAAAATCAGCTCCCAGGGGTTGATACGAACCACTGTAAGCTGGGAACACACTTAACCGATGCAACGCTATGCGACCCTACCTGGAGCCACTCAATGCAAATCCAAAGTCCATTTTTCCATAAAATTGTATTACCCACATGCACGCACATCTACCCGATGCCACGCAACGCTACCCTACTCTATACTACATGATCCCCACTGTCCAGATTTTTGTCGGGAAGCATCGGGACCAGTCGAAGACAAAAGAACCGGTCACTCATATTTTTATTAACTATATGTATTATTGTTGTTATATTAATTACAACATACTTATTTTAATATAAACCAAATTAAGCGAGATCAAAAATTCATTAGTTTTTATTAAAAAAAAAAAAAAAATTTTAACGGTTTGGCAGAAAATTTATCAAAACGCCAGAATAACTTTATTTAAAACAATTAAATTTAACTAACAATTTATTACATGGTTTTGCTCAAAATAATGTATTAAGACAAGAGGCGTTGCGATTGTGATACTGATGATAAACGCTGTGTGACTGCACATGGCATGCACTTGATGTCACATAGATGTGCACACCGACAAGGTGTCAGAAGCATCGGGTAAGTGTGTTCCCCGCTGTAGTCATCATTGATATAAAAGGAGGAAAGGTGTTAAGGGATGGTTAGAATAGCCATCTACTCAGACAGCCACTGAAGGCAATTGCCATATCAGTGGTAAAGTCCAGAGTTGTTTGGGGCTGCATCAAAGCCCTGAAAGACATTGAGGCTGCTGGCATATTGACCAAGGAAAGAAGTTCATTGAGGACGCCTATTGACCCTGAACCCTTTTGTGGCATACCACTGTCAAAAACGCATATTAGACAATTGATTAAAAATAAGTCCTCTGTTCAATGGGAATGTATCCCAGGACAGAGCCATGCAAAAAAGTTATCAAAGGACCTGCATAAGCATAACTTTTTTTTCTCATTCTGATCCGAGTGCATGGTATGCACATTAGTAATGAGGTTCAGGTGATGTTGGATCGCTTCTGTGGCTTGTGTAAGATGGTGTATGTCAGATGGTGTAGAGGACTTGAGGATACTTCCTTGAGGAACTCCTGCTTTGATAGGGGTGATGGGTGAAAAATCATTGCTGATTCTCACTTTAAACCATCGATCCAAGAGTTGAGATGTTAGGGGGAGGATATGTTTTAACTTTAAAGGAGTCCGAAGTGACACTCGGTCAAATTCTTCCGGAACGCCCAGAAATACGGCTGAGCAATATTGTTTGTTTTTTAAAGGCGAGGATATCTCTGAAACGGTGCTGAACAGTGGAACGGGTTTAGGAGTTTTTCAGAGCCGAATTTAGCCTTTTAAGGAGGAGACGTTCAGAGATTTTAGATAAAATAGGTTCATATTGGTTTAAATGTGGGTGGAGCACCAGGGATTTGTGTAGTTTTGGTATTGGGGTTATTAAAGATATTCCCACTGGTCATATTATAGTATTAATTTTTTAAAGGTTTTTTCAAACTAAAAGTTGCCTGTTCAGGTTTGTAATTATAAATAATATTAATAATTACTTGATATTTATTTTAATTCCCCCACTCTGGCACCTACTCGTCTGGATAACAGCAATTGTAACCTCCCTTGTTCAGAGTTCGGCCTTCCGGGTTGGTGTTCCGCTAGATAGTCGGACATGTGCTGTCCCTCGAGTGGTCAGTGACCACCAACACACACGACACCCGGGTCCATCCCTTTATTTACCCCATATTTTTTATTTTAATTTTCCACAGTTTTCGGTCGGGATGCCCATTTCAAAATAGATAGAACAACAACACTAACACAAGTAACAAAATAAGAGATATGGGTAGAAGAAGAAAGAAGTCCAAGATCGAAATCCAGATCCAGAGGTAACAACGAGGTCTTTAGTTGAAATAGTAACTTTTATTTTTTACATTTACCCCCTCGTCTTGTTTCGTCGTATTTTTATTTTATTTGTTCCTCCTAAATAGAAAGTTAGGTTATTTCGGATTATTCATAAAATAAACTCATTGGTAATTGTAAGGTTTCATCATAAAACAGTTTATTATTACTCTTTTCCATCTTGTTCATTATGTGGAAATTTTCAAATTATCGCACACAAATTTATATTCTTGCTAGTTTTTTTATTTTTATTTAAACTTGGTCGTTCATTGCCATAACGGTCCTCGTGGAGGCAGAAAAAACGCCTGGGTTCTGGGAGATTGTTGAAACCTGCTTGGGCCAAAATTGGCCTCTTAGCTAAAAATGATTCAATGGCAAATTCTTGGCTATTATTGTAATTTCTAATATTTTTTTTTCTACCAAAATAAAATGAAAGTGAGTGAGTCAGAGTGAAACCCATTTCCTTATAAGCTGATATCATTATAAGCTTCTCAACAACTCTGATCACACCAAATACTATAAAAAAAGGATTCTAATAAAATGCCCCTCTGAATTGAACAACCTTTGTACTATTGGGTTGTCTGGAAAATGATGCAGTTTGATGGTTATAAAATAAAAACAAATAAATAATATTAAAAATTTTTTATTAATTAATTACCCTCCATCACTCCCAATACACTTCTGTCTCAATACCATATGAATAGAAGTTTTTATTATTAAAACATTTTGTAAACGCATTTTCTAATGACTTGATTAATTTTTTATGTTGTAAAATGTCCGGGAAAAATGTTAGATTGTAGGCAAGAGGACTGGAGAGACTTGTGAGGGTGAGGCAGAACCTCATAACCAAGATGTTGGATTTGGAGTTTTCAAACGGGACTGAGCGTTGTCTTGTAACGGAATCAGCCTTTCCCGAGCGAACTAAAGATGACTAGTAATGCTTATTTCTGGTGCATTGCTTCCATTTTGAGTGCAATAACTTTTGGCATTGATTGTTTTGCTAGGATTCAGAAAATTAGTAAATCAAATGAAGATCACGAAAGAGTAACTATCACCTTTTTTTATGAGCTGGTGGCTTTGTAAAATGAGATGCTGCTGGCTCCTTTGTCAAGCCACTGTCCAGAACTCCTGCTGTTAAAGTAGAGAATCCACATTTCATCACAAGTAACAATTCTATCCAGAAAAGGTCCATTTTTGTTTCAGCAAAGATATTTTATTCAACTTCATAACAATGATTTTTTTTGGTGGTCGTTTAATGTTTGAGGATCCCAACTTTGAGCTTTATTCACCTTTCCAGTTGTCTAAGGTGGTCATCGACGGTCGATTTACTAATTGAAAGATTCTCTGCAAGTTCTCAAACAGTTGTTCTAGGTTTTTTCAAACCAAAGCTTGCATAACATCATCATCTTGGAAAGAAATCCTTCTATGACCTTTGTCTTCAAGGCTAAAGCCTTCCTCTCAAAAATTTTTAAACTATCTTGGAACGTTGCTCTTTTTCACACTGCCATTGTTCCCATGTTTTTCGCCATTCAGTCACAGTTCAGTTTTAAAGTTCAAACTCGTAAAACGAAATTGTGCGAAATGCACTTTGACATCTTAGTACTACTGAGGTAAACAACATTTTTGTTTGGAGGATTAAAAAGTGTTGACATGCCTTCAAAAAAATAATCCAACAAACATAAACAATTTAAAGTGTTGTTGAGATGAAAAAACTTTAGTGTCATGAGCGAGGCTTGAACCCATGACCTCCGGCTCTATACCCTGGTGCTCTAACTACTCGAGCTATCGTGTCTTCGATCCCCTGGGACAGCAACTCATAATCTCGACCTACAACTTTTTCAAGTTTACCTCCTTTTGATAAATATTCAAATGTCATGTGATCGGATTAGATTCCCAATGAACATGAAATGGCCACAGGAGCTGTTAGTTAGCAAAGTGCAGGTAGTCTCTAATCATTTTATTAATCCATATGTTTTAGTTGATTGTAATTATCCAATTTAAATCATTACTTTGGTCAATTAGGACGAACTAAAATAAGGATTAAATTTAAATTAATAATAATCCTTTATTATTTATACATTTTACAATAATTTACACAATAAGTATAGATTTTGTTAATCTGCCAGAAGTCAGTCAAAAATTTATTTAAAAGAAGAAAAAAAGATTTAAAAAACTAACACTAACTAAATATCTACAATAACTATAAAATATATATAATGTGTGATATTTAGTGACCGTTAATTAATATCTATTTAGAGATCGACTGCATTTCATGATCTCTAAATAATACATACAATTATGAACTATATTGCCAATTTATATAATAAAAACAAATAAAAATAAACTTATATATCTCTTCCTTCTAAGTGAGAAACCCAATTTTAATTTTTAATCAAATTCAAATGTTGCACTAGTTCATATCTGTAGAACTATGCTTCATGCGTGTACTGAACAAGTACCTTACTTTGATCATTTATGGAGTTCAGTAGGCAAAGCAGCTGAGCTCCAGTCAATGTTCACTGCCCCAGTTATTGTAGCGAATTCACATTTCATCACAAGTAACAATGTGTGGTGATTAGTGACCGTTAATCAATATTTATTTAGAAATCGTGAGATGAGGTATGGTGTGATGTAGGTTTCAGAAAAACATTTTCTTTATCGTGCCAACGTTTCAATCTTTATTGAGATCATCTTCAGCCTGGGATTTACAAACTTGTTTACATATAACAATTACATTTTGGATGTGGAAAAGTGAATTTATACAATGCAAAATATATATATATTTATATATATTCACTCGAAGTATTTCTACTCACTCAAAGTGTTTGTCTTCTGTGTAATTGTGCCATTCTTGCGTGCCATGTCAGAGTGCCAGTGAGATTTTGCTATTTTNTCTTAGTACTACTGAGGTAAACAACATTTTTGTTTGGAGGATTAAAAAGTGTTGACATGCCTTCAAAAAAATAATCCAACAAACATAAACAATTTAAAGTGTTTTTGAGATACAAAAGATGAAACACTGTCAGCGCAATGCTCACAGCAACAAAATTAATTTTTTAATTGTCACAGCCAGTGGAGTCTTTCCACTCCTTAAAAAAAAAAAAAAATTGTTTGCAGTACTCCTCTAATATATAATGTTCTAACCCATTCAGTAAACAAACCCTTTAAATTAAAATAATAATGGCCTAAATTGTTTAACAACCCAATTTTGCAACTGTCAACAACAAAAACCATATAACATGTAATAGTATTCAATACAATAGACTCTCATTATCCATGCTTTCACTCATGTGCGGTTGCACTCCTACCCTAGTTGTGTTATAGACGAGAGTGGGAATCCTGCATGGAATAAACTTTATGTATGTTATTCAGATATCAATTAACGGTCACTAATCTTTATGTATGTTATTGTATTTTTGTTAAAAAAAAAAAAAAAACTAAAATATGTGTACATAAGTTCATTCAAAACATTGACAGACACAGAAGTGTCTGATTGGTATCTTAATCCACAAAGTAGTGTAATTTCTTTGAGGGCACTGAACCTTGCAAAATGGATGGTGCTCATGGGAACGGGTCACAATATGTAGATCCAGGTATAGAGGTTCTGAACTAAGTGGTTGAAATGCCTCTCGATGTTGAAGGTAATGCCTAAGTATTGCAATTACAATTTCCATAAATGGGGCAGAAATTTCTAATAGAAACATCACATAAATTTCTGGCATTCTAAAACTACGATTTATACATTAATTGGAAAATGCCTACACATTGGGATGGAAGTGAGTTAATGTGCCATTCAAAGTGAAAGTTTTTTTTAGTAATGTCAAGTATTAGCATTAGCAATAATATGTGCATTTTCTATGTGGCTATGAACCTGAAATTTTCATATTGTGTGACAATTTTGAAATAGAATTTGCATTATAAATTTGTGTTATATTCATGTTTTAAATTTTTCTAACCATAATTGGTTTTTGTTTACAGTGATGGTACAAGCAATACAGCAGCTGCTCGACCAGAACGCCTAATGCTGCGGCGATCGTTGCCGACTGGCGAAGAGGGTGGTCCTCGACTAGTTGTTGTGAGGCAGCCACGTGGCCCTTCGGATGTACCTTTCTCAAAACTAGCCAGGGTACCACGCCCTCCTGGACACTTACCTATCCTAACAGCAGAGTAAGTCCCAATCCAGCTTCCCAGGTGCCACAGTTGTCTTTAAATATCTAGACAGTAACAACAAACAAAACAAAAAAAATCCAAAAGAAAAAAAACAACTTGAATGAATTAACGTTTCTGTGATAAAACCGAAAACAAGAATATATGTATATGTAGATAATCATTTTTATAGTCATAAGACTAAACTGTGTTTGACTTTGAAATTATAATTTCCCCCTTTGGAAGATAAACAAGAAAAAATTAAGTAGTTTATTAGTTTATGACTTTTATTACCTGTTTTATTTTAGTTTGTATGTGTACTTTCCCCTTGTCACGAGTTCCTTTTTTTTAGTAGTCATTTTCACCCAAGAAATCTTTCCTTTTGTCTTACTTTTTTATATAATTTTTGGAGAACGTTTATTTATTAAAAAAGAAAGTAAAAAATCGTTGACACTGGGAAGGCACCGTGGGCACTGTAAAGGGATGTACTAATCTGAGAAACCAAACTGGATGATGTTAAAACAATGTACACGGAACAAAAAGATTTGTACTGTAAGATAAACTACCCATGTCATGAACACAACAAATAAACAAGACTATCTAAATTGGACGCTAGTCAACACCAAGTTGTTTTTTTTTTGTTGTTCCCATCTTAAAAATAATTTTTTTTAGAAGGGCTATTTCAGGAAATAATCGTTAAATTTGACGCATATGCTGTGTAGAATGTGGCTAAATAATACAAAATTTTCAGTAAAGATAGGTGAATAACTTGATAACTTTTGATATTTGTTTTCCTATTTTTATAATATGCACGTGTAATAAAATTTCCATAGTTCTTTCTATCAAATATAAAATTTTGTATTGTACAATTACTTCAAGCCTAAGAAAGTTTTGATAGCTTAAAAAAATGGTAATATATTAGGTCGTTTCTTCTATTTGTCTTATTTCATTCTTCAATTAACACTCGCACCGCCATTGGTAAAAAAGAAAATAACGTGCCCCAGAGTCTTGTTAAATCTAATATATTTTAGGTCTTTTTAGATCTAATATTTTTTTATCTGAAAAACTACAGAAAAAAGGTTTTATGTTTATTTATTTAGTATGTACATAGGTGACTTATAAATGAAAATTTTCATGTGTGTGCTAAAATTTTATTTGCATTATATAATTTTACATTTTATAAAAAAATTCATTAACATTATTTTATTTTACATTATTACTTAACTATTATGTTACGAATCTCCTGCACAACTTTTACTGCATTCCCGTTTTTTTATTGCTACTGAATGTTTGTTTACCAGAATTGTTTGATGGATTACATCAGTTGAAATATTTATTGTTGGTAAAGCAAAGATATCAACTGTCAAGGAAAACATGTTGTTTTTCTTCCTGCCTCCAACACTTTTAAAATATCATCTGCATGAGTAAAAACATTCATTTTCACACATACTGAATGTGGGGGTAAATAGAAAAATCTGGACTGTTGACGAAGGCTAAGGGATTAAGCGTGCCAGTACTACTGCCTGCAAAAAAGAAAAAAAATCTCCAAATTTTTCTACCTTTTTTTACTATTGTATTGTTAGGTAAGTGTCCTATTGAATGAAAGACATATCATAAACATAAATCAGTCTAAAAATATTAAAAATTTTAGTTTAAAATGCTGACATATTGTATATGAAATGATTTGGGGAAGATAGTAAAAAAGTGTTACCGAAATTTTACCGTATCTTAATAAAAAGTGCTTATTTACTAGATAAAATTAACGCATGTGCCACTTACTTTATTTTTCACCACAAAAACTCATTTCCTGCATAAAATGTATCAATTAATGCATTGTATTGAAGAAAGAGTATGGAAATTCAGTGGTATTAATTTAAATATAAGTTTCATTAGTACTTTACTATTGCATTGAAAAAGAAACATAATAAAAATTATGTATAAATAGCTTGTTTGTAAAAACACTTTCATTTTAGATGTTCTTTTTCGTAAGTAATTATCACAAATCTTTGCTAGTTAAATTTTTTGATTAAAACATACAAAATAAGAGTGAATCAATAAGTTGTAAATTGATAACGTTGATGTATTGTGCTTATAGACAGGCCATAAAACAAGGCAAAAACTTATATATAAAAATAAACAATAAAATATGATTATAATGATGATAATATAAAGAATAAATGTGTGATGATTAGTGACCGTTAATCGATAATTATTCAGAAATCGTGAGATGCAGTCGTGCAAGTCACCAGACCACATCTCACGATTTCTGAATAATAAAGAATAAATTAACAAAGGCCATAAAACAAGGAAAAAACTTATATATAAAAATAAACAACAAAATATGATTAATAACTATTTGTTACAATGAAATAAAAAAGAAAATAACTTTTATAATTGAGTTTGATTAAGGCCTCTTTCAGACAGCGGTTTGGTTGATTCAACTAAGTTGCCCGGGTTGCCCCTCAACTAGTTTACTAATGTGTGAAGTCTTTCTTTGCCAGTTTAATCCAGGTGACAAGACCAGGCAAATTGTTGAATCAACCTCTTCCCAACAGGAGGCAAGTACGATATTAGAATCCGATGAAGCAAGAGCACTTTTTTTCAAAAAAGGAGGAAACCCAGGGGGGTTATCCGTTGTTATAAAATTGGGAAACAGGCGCTTTCTCACAAACGTGCTACTTCCTTCCAAGCCTCCCTTCTTTTAATTTTGTCGCTATACTCTACACACCTCATGTCCCATATCGCGGGATTAATACAAATTTCTTCAATGAACTGCTCCGCATTGAAACTTGCAATTGCAACGCTTTCCATGGTGAACTCAGTGAAGGACGAATGCCGAGCAGTGGCTTTTGAGTTGAGCCACCGAATGAGGGTGCGAACGTGAGCGACACTCGTGCCTGCTGACCACCCACCTGGGTGGGCAAGTTGACTGCAGGGATTGGGCCGGTTCCTATCATTTGCTACCTGGGCTACACTCCTTGACAACCGTCCCTTCAATTAGTTGAAACAACTAGCCATCCCGTATGAAAGAGGCCTAACTATTTATGACAGTTTTTTAAAAATATCCTTTTCTTCAACAAAACGTATATAAACTAATGATTATTATACCTTTTAATATGCGGCAACCGACGAATAATCCAGCATAGAAAATTTCCAGTCTTTAAACACGTTAATTTTTTTAAAATTATTTTTTATATAATACAAACGCGATTGATCGAGAGCGGCCCACTCTCCGCTATTTCTCCGTCCAAGTTTGCTGTCTCCTCAATCGTCCAGTGAAATGGCGTTTTGGCGGCTTTTCAAACCCTCCCGCCTTCTTAATAGTGCGGATGACGCTTTTTCGCCCTTTTCGAAAATCATCGACGTAAATTATAATACAAAAATTTCTCACGATTATAATAAAAGAAAAAGTTAAGTTGAGAGTCTTAGGCCCAAAACTTAAAAAAATGTGGCAAATTAACCGAGACCGTTCGGAATGAAAACTTCAAAAGCACAATTTCTCAAAACTATCGATGAGGCATCCCTTCTTAGCGGGTCGTAGTGGGGCTAACCGTTTTTCTTACGTGAGTGAGTAAAGTGACTTATATTAACTATTTTATTTAAAAAACAAACAAAAAATAATCGTAATGTAAAAAAATGTCGTGGGCCGCGATCGCAAGGTTCTAAATAGACTCGGAAATCTTTTTATTATGGGACGTCGGTGGCGCAACGGATTCGGCGTTGGCACGGCGGTCATCATTGTAAGGTAAAGATCCCCGACATAAATTCTCTTTTCTTTTTTCAAAAAGACCGACACTCCGACGTTTGATATCTCGTAGCTGAAAAACCCTCGATTAAAAAAAAAATAAATAAAAAAAAAATAAAAATAAAAATAGAACTACAAAATGAGCAAAAAAAAATTTTTGTTCAACATTTCGAAAGAAAAGTTCAGGAAAGACCTAATAGAGAAATACATTGGAGGGTAGATAAAATTCAAAATGGATAGTGAAAAAAAAACATGGCGGTACGAGTGTTAAAATTTACGAGAACTTAAAATTATGGAATTTAATTGATGTTCTTTTTAATAAATAAAAAAATTTAGTGATAGAGATCAGTGTACCAAAAGTAAATGATCAGAATGGTAAGAAAGTGTACAATTTTAAGGAAAAAAAATCTTATATTATTTACTTAACACATACATTGGTCATATTTAGTGTAAAAATATAGGTGGCACATTGGAGTCCATAGTTGAATTGTTAGGGTTGTACTCTTTGGTAAATTTTGGTTCGGTATAAAATCCTCAGATCTCTATGCACTCATAGGGAATAGATTTTGCCCGTGCGTTTAACTTAGAACATGCTGAAACAGAACATATATTAGCGAAAGAGATTCAGCCTTAGTAGTAAGTTGTTACCATATTGGCATTTCGGCCCGTAATAGCCAGTGCCTTCGCATCTACACTTGTAATTGGTGAATGTCCTTGTGGTCTGTAAGCAGGCTCCATTGTGTTCGCACGGGTTCGGTTTGCACGCATCCCTGCTGTCTCCTTTTTTAGACAAGAAAAATTACCTATTAGATTTTTTAATATTAACCTTCAATTCATTGTTGCAGAATGCTACATCAGTGGTTCTACTTTTCGCAAATAAGATACTAACTTACAAACGAGTCTGAGGTTAATTTGATTTTTGGAATTTTATTTTACAACGTAAATTTTGTTTGAAGGGCGTATCTTTAGTGTTTTGGTAAAAGAGGACTAAATTTGTTTCAAGATAACAAGGAGATCCATCGACTTCTTTTCTACATGAACAAATAATAATGTTTCAACGATATGTTTATTATTTATTCAATTTTCTTATTAAGTATAAAAATAAATTATGTTATTGTAAGAAAGCACAATTTCAAAAAATGCAATGGCAGGCATGAAAAAACACATTAACTCCCCCCTTATAATTTTAAAAATTGATTTTCAAAAATCACCATTTGCTTTTTTGTGGAAAAATGCTCTCCCCATACCCCTCACTTTATGATATGTAGCCAAACAAGTTGAGCATAAATGTTTCATTTTGTATTTCATATTATGGATGTGAAGAAACAATTGTGTAAGTAGATTAATTATTATTACAAAAACACAATTTAAAATAATTTATCACAGATAGTAGAAGTAGTAAATTCAGGAGAATTTGGCATACTGCACCCTTTGAGAGCTATTGTATCCTCTCTGTCCTTTCAGCATATTAGTGAGTCCTCCAAGTGAGATAATTCATCAAGAAAGTTTATTAGGCTCAGTTGTAGGGTAATGACGATGTGTTTATCGAGAAAAAACCAGAGTTAGTGAGTCATTATAGTTGTAGCATTTTGCTGACACACTTAGCAGTGCTGAACTGCCTGCTGATTTAGAAATCAATTTGGGTAGTGGTCGAGAAGACCGGTTTTAAAAACACTGGTGTACAATCAGTACCAGTACTGGGTACATACCACCACTTTGCTCTTTAATATTATTATTTTAAAATTGCAAAACAAAGTTGAGAAAAATTGATCAGCGAAATTGAAAAGCCTACTGATTTGTCTGACATAAAAATTCCTGAATAGACTGTATTACAAATTCACAATGTATATTTGCCTAATAACATTATGGGAAATGCTACAAAAGAGAACGTAACAGAAAGAATATAGGATTAATCATTCTTTACAAAATTGGCCAATTTTATTACCTGCAGATTCTCTCGAAATTCCTCTTTGGGAAAAAGAAATTTCTTGCAATTTATTCTCAATCAACTCTAATCAACTAATTTCATTGAACCACTACATAGTGATAAACGCTTCGTTTTTGTCATTACCAGCATTTCTTCTGCAGTTACAATATACATCCCAAACTATTTTCTGCAGATAAGTATAGCATATCACTTTTGTTAGAGTCTGTTCTGCCTTTTTGCAGCATCTTTACTGTATTGGGTGATGCCAATCTTTCTAAAGTGCCTGAGGATAACTTCAATTAAAGTCAAAAGAGTTGTAGAACTGTCTTTGGAATAAGAAATATCCCCACCCTTGACCACGACCTCGATCACTACATCAGGGTAATTTTTGATTTTTACCTTTAAATTTTATAGAACCAAATCGATAATGAAAAAAATTGCTTCAAAACAACAAATTTAGTTGCACATTTTATCCTTAATTTAATTAAATTCAGATGTTTTATTAGAAATTCTAAAAAATCCCAGAAGTGGAATCTGTTTAAAATAAGTTAAAAGTGTTCAAGGAGGAGAAAACCACATAAAAAATTAAGAAAATTTTAACCATTAAATTTTATAGAACAAATAGATATTGGAAAAAATTGTTTGAAAACAACAAATTTAATTGGAAATTTTCTCCTTAATTGAATTATGACATTCAATTTTGAGTCAGAACAGCTGAAGAATGACATTTTTTTACTTAATGTATTTATATCTACAGCCAGCAGATTTTATTTAATTTTGATATGTGACAAAAATTGGCATTATAAAGAACACATTGGCAGACGCTCTGGTTTAAAAATTTAAGTGGTCTCTTATTCATATTCTTTTCAACCGTAATTGTGGGGCATGGGTGTTAGTGTGATATTTAATTGACTGTGAAAACGTTTATAATAGGTTTCGATTGATGAAAAATCATTTGACAGGTGAAGTCAAAAGTTATTGTTTACATAAGAAGGGGCAGAAACAATTAGTCGTAAAATGTTTTATTGAAAACTTTGTAATCTTTGAATATTGAAATATTTCACCAATCTGTAAAATTGGGACCTGTACATCCATGTAGGTTTGAGAAAGTGTGTATAATGTGAAAGTTTTAATTTTGATTGACGGTTCAGTAGGTAATAAAGCATTTTAAATTTTGTTAAGTGTCTTGTTTTTTTAGTCGTATGTGCAGATTCTAAGTTATTCTTCTATCAAATTTAAGTCCTAAATAGTTAACTTTGTTTTATTGAAGAACCATTGGTTCATCTTATAAGTATATGATAGTACAAGTCTCATAGAGTATAAAGGTGATATGTTGTTTCTTTGAGGGGTAGAACTTTATTTTCCAAAGATTGCTCCATTTTTCAGTTGTAGGTTTTGTAACAAAAGAGAAGCTTGTTTAGACTTGTTAATCTGGCAGTATCATCCTCGTTTGAGGCAGTAAGTGCATTCTCATTTCTGGGCATGTCAGAAGCAAAAAATTGTATACTATGAAAATAATTTAATTTTTTTTCATTTTAAATTTTCTTGCAACCATAAAAAATTTGTTCTTATTTACTATTAACGATTAAATTTTCTCCTTGATTTAATAATGCCATTCAATTTCAAGTTGGGAAAGAAGAATAAAATTATTTTTATGAAATTTTCAATCATGAGAAAGTTGTTATTTATTATTTTCAATTAAATTTTTTTTAAAAATAATACAGTACCTCTGATGCTAAGAATGTAATAAAAACATGATAAAATAAAGTGGCAGCATCAATGGGCCGGGTCGACAGAGAAGCCATCACATATCAAGAGCACTGATGATGAAGGATCTGACTCATAGAAAAATGGGTCATACTCGCCCAATTAAGAAGGCCATGCGAGGTTGACACGCAGACACTTACTTTCAGGCCGATGCCCGCGTATGTTGCTGGCATGCAGAAAAAGTTGCTCGATGTACCCTGCTTAATTGAAGGGTGCAATTTCTTGACTCCATATAGAGAACATGCAGGAACGCCACCCATTGAGAATTGTGCTTGAGTACAGCAGTGAGTATGGGTCCCCTGTTCTGATTCTTGGAGAAAACGGGGTTGTTCTTTTGTGTATAGTTATAATAGTTGTGATAACTGGGTTATGTTGAGAGTAATGTACTTATTAATGTGAATTTGTGATGTGAGTAGTTTGATTTTAATTTTGAGTACCCCATCGCCCTAGGTGAGTTGTATAATATGTGAAATGGGTGATGGAGGAATATCGAGTACTCCACCACCCCAATTGAATGAATGATATGTAAATAGGAGTGAATGTATTTAAGAATGAACGTATGAAGGTGTTTGGAACTGCAAGCATTGGGTGCTGAATTCAATGTTGAACAGCACCTCCTTCGCCCGCCCAGATAGGACTGAGGTCTGCCCCCGCACTGCTAACACCAGGGGTTGGTGATTCTTGAGTCTGCCAGGAACTGTAAATAGCCAAACCTGAAATTGCCGGTGGACTACAAGAAGCGAATAGGGTCAACTCTGTGCATGTTTGTATGTATGTACATACAAGTGTGGATTTGATCCTACATAAATTCAAATCCAATATAATAAATATTTTAATAAAATTTTCTTTCAACTGTAAGAAATTTATTATTTACAATTTGTAATTACATTTTAAATGTTATATTTGAAATTAACACAGAAAATGGCATGTTTATTTTATTAGTGTAATTTTTTTACAAGGATTTTACATTTAAACAGAGACTGATATATTGGGAGTCGTACATCTTACTGAGGACAACCAGAGAGATAGGGCAGAGGACAAAATATGAGATAACTGTTCAGAACCCAATGACATATATTATTTACTAGTTTATTAATTAATTATAACTGTCGGTTAGTTTAACCTTGGATAAATTCGGCTGTGCATTTTAACTTTTTTTATAAGCGTTTGCCGCCCTTGTATAACGGTTGTTCAACTATTCTAAAAATATAAATTTATTGCATGGGAATTTGATGTAAAAAAGAAGTAAATTGCAATATGCGATATTACATTGCAGGATAAGGAGAGCTAGAAAAACCTCCGATGCCTTTAAATTGATAATATTATAAAACGAAAAAAATTATCCAATAGAATTTTTATTTTCTAACATCTTTCAAGGGCATTGGTGTCGACGAACTACAGACGATCTGAAAGGATAGGGTTGTTGGGACCAATAGGTCAATAGTTAGAGATGATTTTTATCAATAAATCAATTTTATCGGCAAAAAAGACGTATAGACTTATTATTTTTAAATAGATAAATGGCATTGATTCCAGTTTGAAACGTATACAATGATTGATTCACCTTTTTTCTACAAGGAGAAAGTGGAAAGTTTTTAAGATTTTAAAGCTGACCTTACAAATCTGTACAGGAAAGAAAAATGACACGTGGTTAATATCTAAACAGGACGACCGATATCGTTCATGCCACATGGGCGGGTCTGGCATTCAAGAAAGCCATGATTAATTTTCTCTCTGCTATATGTTATTTGCCAACGAGAACAAAGGATGAGAACAGATCGAGATTAACATTGAAAATGCCGACAAGCCAATCCAAACAGTACCAGGGTTTTCTAGTACACACTATCTAGGCTTTTTAATTGACCGATACTTAAAAAATCATAAGCCCAAAAGTTTAAGAATAAAAATCGATATATTCCACTTAAATGATCTGGAAAAAGAGGTAAGTATGATTTATATAAGCTCAACTTTCCTCATTGTACATACACACAGGTGTACAGAGCAAAGCATATCTCTCCAATTCCAGCTTTTGTGATTTGAAATCACCCACCCTGGTGTTGGCAGTTAGGTGCCCGACCTCGGGCTTATCCGTTCAGTCGACGAGGTTGGGCTCTTGGGTATCAACATCTAGGACATTTCAGCCCCCAACTCAATTCCAAGATCATCTCTCTTAAATACGTGTGTGGTGATTAGTGACCGTTAGTCTATGATTATGCGGAAATTGTGAGATGCGGTCTGGTGTGACGTAGGTGTCAGACATTCCTTCCTATTCCTTGATATTCTTCCAACACCCTCCACACGTATACCAACCTTATTGAGGGTCAATGGTGTACTCAGTATTGCGACATCGGCCCTCTCAGCCTACATATTCACACCAATAAGTACATTCTCACTTAAGATGTACTAGAAGACAAAAAACAATACGTATATCATTTTCTATAAAAATCGGAACAGGGGACCGAAATACTGATGTGACGATATTGAATGAAGACTAGGAAGTGGGGGTTTATTTTATCGACGAAGCACTACAACCTTCTGTCGTAATGCACTTACCCAGTTTGTTAGTTCAGTTCAATCGACTTGATCCTAAAGAGTACTATGTCATTGATTGTCGTTGCTCAATTCCATTTCCTGGGTTGTGTCTACATTGAGCAGTTGTTTCGCGTTCGATGATAATCTGGGTGTAAATGGCGTCATTCTTGAATATACCCGTTATGCAGATGCTTTCTCAGATGCCAGTGACCTCACTCCTCTGAGTTTTGTCTTCCCTAACTAGTGAGTTGGGCTGTTTATGTTAGGAGGAAACATACCCTTTTGGGTCCATTCTGAGCTGGAGGATTCTATGTCTGGTTTGTCTTCCCAAGCATAGGGTCCTATATTGAACCTCCTGGTCAGTTCTGAATTTTTTTCCTTCCTTTGTGACCTGTCACCCAAGATATCAGGTTATTGCGATTCCCTTGATTTTGACTGCCGTGTTCAAGCATAACTTTTATATCGAGTGACAACCCTATGCCATCTCTGTATGGAATGGAGACAAGGAATGGCACTCTTCAGAGAAGTGGGCCACATCGAGCAACCTTTCTCTACATACCGGACACACGGGCTTTGGGCCAAAAGTGTATCTGTCAACCTTGCATATTCAGACTCTCTGAAGGCAACCTTTCGAGTATCGACAGTGCTCTTGATTACTTAAGAATATCTCTGCCGATCCAATCCATCAACGCTGCCATTTTCTTTAAAGGTTTTTATTGTATTTTTAGCGTCAGAGCAGCTAGATAGCGATGGTCAGTTCCACAGGTTGGTACTTCCCTGCCTTAGCCACCTCTTACGCCGTTTCGTTACCCTCCTACTTAGTTCACAAAAGAACGAAAAGTCTGGCCTTTATCATTTAATAGAATAAAATTTAAAAAAATTTCCTTCAATTCTGAGTATTTTAATATAAGATTATAAAGGCAAGAAACTGTAAGATATTACAAATAAGGACCTGGTTCTTCAGCATTTCGAAATTTCAATTATTTTCAATAATTTCGTTTTGAGAAACAACGGTTTGCTCATAGAAAATTACTTGTTATGTTAAACATCTTTCTTGCTTGTTGTTTGGTTTACATGAGTCCTCAAAAAGAAAATCTATTTTAGCAACTGCAACACTTTCTCGATTTATCACGTTCTTCTTGACCCCATCCGGTGCCCCGTTGAATTTTATTTTATCTGAATAAAGGAAATTGTGATAAAAGTATCAAGTACTGATTACTTCCTCCATCGATTAGACTAATGTCTAACCTTTTATGTACGGCGTACGATTATAATTAAATATAAAACCAACATTACCGTTCAGTGCCATTTTGCATTCATTGCGGTTTTTATAAAGGAATTCCGACATGCATCCCTTGCCGCAGAAGCAGTGTCCAGCTTGGATCATGCATCCTCTCACTATTTGTTCTGGATCGCAACTCTCACACACCAGGAACACGACTGAAACAAGTTAATTTCAAACTTTATTTCCTTATAAGTCTATTATTGAATCAGACAGCTGTCCGACTTATGCTATGTCCGAAGATTATGATTTGATTGCATTCGTTCCTCTGAAAATATTGTACATATTGTTAATTATACAACAATCACCTTTACTTTTTACCTGCATAACTATTATTCAACAAATTTGACCCTTTGATTGCTCTAGTCTAGACCGTTGAAAATATTTGCTTTCCTAATTCATCAAGAAAACTATTTTTAGAAAATTTTGTTAGTGTTAAAAATAAATATTTATGGCAATCTGCATTTTTGTACGTTGAGTAATTGATAATTACAAAAAGGAGAGACATTATTTCTATCTTCCATGTTCTTATGAAACCTATTACCCCAAAATTCGGTGCCGTATGAAGATCGGAAACGAAGAAACTTAAGGATAACGGTTGAGAGACAACGATAGGTCCGAAATGGAACGGTTGTTAATGAGGTTTATCATTGAGGAATATCATCTTCCTATCATTTTCGACCAATAGAAGAAGACCGGAAACGAAGAAACTTAAGGATAATGGTTGAGAGACAAGCTGGTTAAGGCTAATGGTGGAGAGGTCCAAAATGGAGAGGTATATATGAGGATGATCATTTTAATCTTGTAAGATTTTTCCGTGTTGTCTATGGGTGGTGATTTGAAAGTTGTTCTGTCAGACGTGTTTCAGCATCTCGCCATCATCATTATAAAGCTCAAATGTTACATGTAGGAGAGTAGTATGTTGAAATACGAGAGTAGGCAGGCCAGTGCGGGAATGTTTTGTCAGAGACTATAATCGATACTTTGGTAGGAAAACGAACTACAGCCTTGGTTAAGTTTTTAATAAAGCCCCTTCCTATTGACTTTTTTGAGCATGAAAAAGTTATATGATCCTGGTCTGTAGTTGTCCGGTTATCGCAGTCACATTTTGCATTTTCCAAAATTCAAATTTCCGACAAGTGGTGAGGCAGCTGGTTATGGTTGAATCGTGTCTAAACATGGTTGAAAAGAATGTACGGTTTGGTACATCCTAGCACTGACAACGTACAAACCGACCAGAATAAAACACAAAATACAACATTAACTGTACTTGGTAACAGAATATTTCCTTGACTTTACTGTGGCAAAAACTGACAGAGAACTTTTCGACATACTGAAGTACAAGTTCTCTACAGATAGACACACTCAATATGGCTAAATGGCGAATCGCGTCTGACAAACCAATACTGGTAGGCTGACCAAATGATCGGTAACGACCAAATTTCATTTTAATTTTAATAATCACCACTTTAAATAAGGGTGGGTAGCTATGAGATGCCATCTACCTAAAATCAGACCTAGAAACAATTCCCAACGAGCCACTATCCGCCATTTTGGAAAGGCACAACATGTTCCAATTATTTGAAAAAATCAATCCACAATATACAGATCTAGATCTCAGAGGACATGGAAGTTTTGTTAAAATCACCAGGGCTCCAAGAATCATTAATAAAAAAGGGGTTGAACGTGAGGGTGGTTCTCTTGATGAACATGTGTAAGACAGACCCGCTTGACTTAGCTGACACGCTGGTTCTGATTAACGCCAGATCCAAAACTTCCCCCTTTTTTGACAAGTCCCTTTTACCATCGGTTTTTTTGTTACGTTTTAAAACAATGTCGTATAGGTTTGGACTTGGGATCAAGTGTTTTAAGTGAAATGAAAATTTTAGAATTATAGAAAAATTAGCATCCCTATTTTCTTGTCAAGCCAGACTGCCAGGTATAAAAAGGCCGGTGGTACCGTTTACCATTGTGTTTCATTTATGCTTTTCATTATGTCTGTAACTACTCACTCCTCAGGAGTAGTGGTGTAGTTAAAACACTGCTTATTACTATAGTCAAATATGCACATAGGAAAACATCTAGCTATTAACGAGAACACTGCTTGATTAAATACTTTTAATCTTTATAATGAGAACAGCACGATTCAAATATCTTCAAGTTGGTCAAATAAACAAAAACTTGTAAACAATCAACAATTGAAGAAAATTTTCTTACTTTGCAATGGCAACTGTGACGAGAATTGAAAGGAAAAATGTGTCAATTTTTGCATGTTTTTACCGGCCATTTTTGAGTAATTTCTATATGTTGGAATTCTTTGATTCTCCTGGACGGACAAGTAGAATAATTGGTGGTAATTTCATATAATTAAATTAATGCACCTCATAGCACTGATAAACGTTCGACTATTTTCATAACGTTTGCATTCGAAATCTACAATTTTGACGATTTCATTCTTCAGTGAGTCAACGACAAAATTCAGAGAAAAGCTCAAGACTAGGCAGACTCAAAGTTAGTTGTATCTTTCTAAGCCTAAAGGATTATGACTTCATACTTCTGAATGACTGAGATAATACCCATCCATCCCAAACTGCTTCAAGTTTTTCCAAATAAGTGAGACTGGGCGGACTAATATTATGACGGTTTTCTCATGTTACATACATATTCATTCGAAATTTAATGATTAACGATTTATTTCTTTACGTTGTAATGTGCTGTCCCTGGTAGAGAGTTATAATAATATGTTTTTATATCCCATGCATCCCCAGAATATCCCATGCATCCACAACCACACTAGTTGAAGTTTTTTCACATAAGTGAGACTAAGCGGATCAAAATCAGGGCAGTTTTCTCTTATTCTTTCGAAATATATTGTTTGACGATTTAATTCTTCACGGTGTCATATATATATGCTTGGTAGGCAGAAGTAAAATATTCTTCTTGGGTTCAAACCAAAGATCGAGACTACGCGGACCCAAAGTTAGTTATGAACAAACCTATTTGTTCGCTTGCACTTGTCACATACTATCATTCATCTTTCGAAACCTAGGGGATTATGACTTCATTATTCAGAATGACTGGCAGAATGCCCCATGCATCTGGTTTTTTTCTAAATAAGCGAGACTAGAAGGACCAACCACATTGTAGTTTTTTCATGTTACATACATATTCATTCGAAATTTATTGATTGTTGATTTATTTCTTCATCCATTTGTGTCACATATTATATCCCTGATATGTAGTAGTAGTAAAATACGCTTCTTGGATTCAAACAAAAGAGCGAGACTAGGCTGATAAAAAATTAATTCTGATCCAATCGTAGACGTTTGCATTGTTCGAGACCTGAGGATTATGAGAATTTCACTAGTCAGATTGTAAAGGGAATGTCTATGAATGAAGAGCTAAAATGGTTCTTGTTTTTAGCCAAAAAAAGCTAAATCAGGCGAACCAAATCGTGTCACATCCAATAGATATTCATTAGAAATTTGCAGTGATTGTGCCGATTTCTTTCTTCACCGTTGTGAGGCCAATGTGCTTCGTATTTTCAACAAAATAGCGAAACTAGGCGGACCAAAGGCTGTTGCTATCAAAGTTTTAGGGCTCTTGGATGAACTAAAGGGCTAAAATGTGATGTCCAGGGTTTTACGGAGACTATCGAAATCTTGATATTACTATATAACAATTGTATTTAAACATCTATATGGATTGTATTTTGGCCTGAAATGACTGGATTCTTTGTCGTTTCCAACGATTGGTCGAACCCAACGGTTTTGTAATGGGAGATAAGTCTTTTTGAGAAGATTATATTGATTTCCGGGGAATAATGGATATGTGCTGAATTTATATTTGTCATTCTTCATAAATAAATTGATTCATAAATAATTGAAATAAAAATGTACCTAACAAATCGACTTATATTCATGAATTGAAAAAAAAAATCGGAAGGCTAACTGAAACAAATTTGACAAAAGGTACAAAAAATTTCACATTTTCTTGTTTCTAAGAGAGTTTTCACGAAAAATGTCCATAAAATGTAAATACAATCGATTTTCAATTAAGTATTACAATTGCTCATATTTATCGTCCAACTAACGCTATTATCTGATGAAACACATACGTTAAATTGTTGAAAGAAAATTGTTAATATATATATATATATATTGCGACCTGTAGTCTTTTGCAGACAAGGTACATCAGTTGTAAATAAAACAGGAAGTCTCATATTTCATGACCTGGCAATTTTGAAAAAGGGTTTTATGTTTAAACTATATAAATGATACATATTTATTTGACTAGTTTTACGTTTATCCTTTCTATGGGTGGACGTAGCAATTAAATTGATACAAATCTGCTATTTTATCTGGACATGAATGTTTTTCAATAAAAAATTAAATATAAATAGTTTTTTCTTCTGTGGATGCGATGGTTTCTTTTTAATCTTGAGCCTTGGTTTTTATTTAACTACAGTTGATTTACGATAAAAACAAATTCATAAAAATATAAATCTTTTATTCTGAAAAAATAAACAAAAATGATTAGGTTTTTTTTTTGAAAAGTTGTGTTCTTACTAGTAGTTCACTTAATTAATTCAGTTTTTAAATGAAAAATTAACTCAATTTTCACCCTTAGATGAAAAACAAATGAGCAATTTAGACTCAATTTAAATTAAAAAATTAAATAATAAATAAAATAAATATTTAAAAATATTATCTGAGATTGAAAATTCGTAAAACATTTCTGAAACTTTGAGATCAGCCATAGAAAAATGGGGTTGCTGAATCATGAAAATCTCATAAAATTATGATATACTTAACCAGAAAATCTCTTAGAAAAAAGTCCCTATACTATATGTTCAAAGAATATTTTGAAATTTTATAACATTAACTTTAATAAATACACCTTTAAATTATTATTCGGTTAACTTAAGAAAAGTGGATCTGAAAGTTTATTTTTTTTTAATATGAAATCCTTTACTATTAAAAAAAGACAAATATTACAGCTTGTTGTATATATACATATATATATTCAGCAGTCAGGAATGAAGTATTTTAGTAAAACACCTTTTTCATTTTTTTTGCCAACATTTCGACATTTTTTCGGGTCATCTTCAGGGTCCCTGGGTGAATTACACAACTTATATTGGTTGTAAAAAATATAATACAGATGTAATTAATATGAATTTTGAACCAAGTATTTATGTGAGCCCTGAAGGTGACCAGAATAAAGATCGAAACGTCGCAAAAAATTAAAAATGTGTTTTCCTAAAATATTTCATTCCTGACCGATCTTCATGACTTCAAAAAATTAGTAGTTATTTTTACTACTAGTAAATAATATCTTTTTAAATATAATTCCGTTTTTAAATTTTCACCCTTGGATGAGAAGCAAACTAGCAATTTAGTTAAATAAAGAAATAAAAAATTTAAATAAATATTGAGCACATTGTCTGAGCATGAAAATCCGTAGGACATCTCTGAAACTGGGAGCAGCCATAGAAAAGTTAGGGTGCTGAATCATGAAAATGTCATAAAATAATGAGATCACTATTATACACAGCCAGAAATCTATTTGTAAAAAGATTTTACATTACAATTTCAATCTGTGTTTTTAATTTCATAAGATACGTTCTGGTAAATACATCATTATATTGTTATTCGGTTGCGACTTACGAAAGCAGACGACCAAGGTGGAGGATGCGACCCGTCTTGTGAGCATGTTGAATGCACTTTGCAGGGAGTGCGAGACTGGAGTTTTCCAAGATCCCCTACCCCTTAGGTCAGTGAACCGATTACAATCTCCCCACTTCAGCCAGAGGCTCAGACAGTGGTGCCTGTGTGTTTTTACTTCAGATCTGTTCATGGGGGAAAAAAGATTATGCGTATAAAAAGCTACATCCTCAAATCCCCCTCGGCCCCAGCCGAGAAGCTGGCGTCTCCTGGAGGAAGAGCCATAGTTTTTTGGCCCGTTTTGATCCCAAGGGAGAGTGTCCTGTTTCATCCCCTTCTCGCCCTCAAGACACACAAGAACTATGTTATTATTAAATTAGTGACATATGTTAAAACGTAGCGGAATTCTTGTCTTCATTGTGCAAACTATTACAGCTCTTTTTCTTGTTCTCCTCATTCTTCTCATCTTAATTATTACAGATGTTTACAATCAAAAGTCAACAGTAGACTAGATAAAAATAATCAATTACCTAGTACCTTGACATTTAAAACATGTTTTAACATCGATAAGTTTGAATCATATTTCGAGCTTTAAGGGCTGAAAGTCAACTTGGATAAATCGAAAATTCTGGTTTTAAGGAATGAAGGTTGACCTGGTGCAGGTGAATATTGGACATATCAAAACGATAGTGTCACTGTTGTTAACGAGTACAAGTATTCGGGGGTCACTAAGTTTGCATTGAATATCATCTGGAATGGAACAATCACACACCCTTCAACAAACTACTTCTTCACAAGTTTGGGGACTTCAATACTTGCTAGATCCGGAAAGGGTTCAATGGTTTTTTGTTCGTAAACTGTTTAATCTTCCTCGTTTATTTTATTTTATTAGAGAGTGAGTTGGATCCAGTCTTTTTTTATTATGTTATATTAATCCCAGAACTCACTTCAACTATTATGGCGCAAGAAGTATGGAAGAAAGGGTTATTTTGGATGTGAGCATGGAAAACTTTAGCAAAAAAAAAACACGATTTTGCTAACGCTTGCCTCTAGTTTCGATTTTAGAGACCCCCAAAAAGTAAGTCAGCCTCGATTAGAAGTTACACAAAGATTACTCTTGATAGAAGCTGTAAAGGATTCCATTCATGAATACAATAATATACAGAGTGAGATTCGCTTCTTGCACGACAAAGTTCGTCACGTACTTCTACATCTCAACTGCAATAAAAAAAAGACCGCACCTCACGATTTCTGAATAATTATCGACTAACGGTCACTAATCACCACACATGCAATAAAATAGTTCGTATGAACCATGGTCCGATTTTCAGCTCTTTCGCAGATAGTTAACATTTTATGCTTATTTGTTAACTATCAACGGTTCTAAGTCTAAGGAAAAGCATTGAAAAGAGCGTGAAATTTTCTTTAAGAAGGCACCCTTCTAGAACTTTCAATTTACTTTTTTGATTAAAAAACCAACATTAAACCTTTCAAAAAGTACTAAATTTAAAATTTGTAAAAAAATAAATTTGCGACCGCGTTGGAAAACTTCACGGTAGAGGCTGTTAAATTTCATAACTTCTTCGTAAATAAGCTTTTTAGTGCTATAGCCTTTTGTTTAATTACATCGAACCAAACTCCATAAATCTTATGCTAAATGAGAAAAAAGTGTTGACGGTGTAAAAAAGGGGAATGGGGTTTATCGATTAATTAAACTTTTTCTACTGGGCAAAATTTATTTCTCGACTTTAGCTTTAATAAAAAAGCACAAAATGAAAGAAAAATGTAACCAAACACTTAAAAAGGAAACAATAAACATAGTGAACAACCGAAGTACAAAAATTGTACACAAAATATTTAAATATAGACAAAAATAGAGAACCATACAAAAGTGGTAAAACCCAGCTAAAGAAATTTTTAAAGTAGAAATCAAGCAAAACACATAAAATAGAGACAGTAAACATAGCAAACAAACAGGGCAGAAAAATTGGACTGAAAGAATGGAAAGTTATTTTGTACTTTTTTTTTGGGGGGGGGGTAAAAGTTGGGTTTTACAACTTCTGTATTGCCGTTTCCCCTTTGACTTTGTTTTGTGTAGATTTTGACTAATTTTTCTGCTTTGGTTTTTCACTATGTTTATTGTCACTTTTTTGTTTTTATTTTTATTTTCACATTGAATGTTTCTTTTTTTGCCCTTTTTTATTAAGATAAAGTTGGGATATAAATTGTTCCCAGGAGAAAAGGTTGATTACTAGATTAATCCCATTCCCCTTTTTTCAAGACGTCACCACTTTTTTCTCATTTAGCCATAAAATTTCGGCATTTTGGTTTGATATAATAAAAAAAAAGGCTATACCATTAGAAAGCTTATTTAACGAAGAAGTTATGAAATTAACTTAAACAGCCTCTACCGTGAAATTTTCCAACGCAGTCTCAAATTTTTTTAAATAAATTTTAAATTTAGCACTTTTTGAAAGATTTAGTGTTTGTTTACTAACAAATCTTAAATTGAAAGTTCTAGGAAGGTTCCTTTCCCAAAGGAAATTTAACGCTCTTTTCCATGTTTTTTTGGGATTTCGCGAAAAATGAATAGTTCAAGAGCTACGAGTAGATTTAAGTTTAAAACAACCCTCAAATTTTGAATATCTGCGAAAGGATTGAGAATCGGACCACGGTTCATACGAAATTTGTCGTATGGGTAGCGAATCACCCTGTATTCATGATGCAAGGAAAAATTCAAGTCTGCTGCTGATATGGACGTGATAATTTTTAGTGAAAGTTAATAAAGAAGTCTGCAAATTAAAAACGCAAAACTATATAAATATTTAACACAACTGCGTACTTAAATTATACGTGTAATAAGGAGAGTCTCATAAATTCAATTTAAAGACGTTTAGTTCTCTTAACGCTAATGGCGGACAACAGCACGTGGTCGGTCTTCGCATGCCGCACCAGGGCAACCAATGCACCTATTTCCTGGACATTATTCCGGATTATTTAACAACCGTTACAGTATTCCCCTTAATGGCGTCGAGGGAACGAACACTGGGCTTCACAGTACGACTTGAACGGGTCTTGTACCCAGAAGATTCATCCTGTACTTGGTAATGTAGCTTCAGAACTGTCCTGCAGTAAGCTCCAGTAGGCGTGCTGGTTTAACTCTACACACCAAAACTATGACTTTTCACCAGACATTTGCAATTCGAGTGTTTTTTATTAATTCTCTAAACCTGATGTGGACTGGTGTAAGGTGGAGCCAAGGGACTTGTCACCGTTTCATTCCAGAGAAATATACGTTTGCAGGTTTCTAGATAAAAAAACATTACAAGACTTAATGGTCTCTTAGCGAGTTCTGCTAAGTCACCTGGTTGCGGTTGTCCATATACCGTGTCAACTTTGCTGACCTTGGTGTTGGCCCTTGCTGAACGAAAACCTAGGAGTACTGTAGGCAATGAACTAGATCAATTCTTCGTAGTTGTAGTATGGCTAGGTTGTTTGGCAGCAAAGAATGGATTTTACCATATCTTTAGCTATTGTCTCTTTTGCCAATTGCTACAAACAGATAGCATGTTCTTTAAAATTGCTAAAGTTTGTGTTTCCAAAAAGGGTGATAAAGGATAATAAGAGATAGATAAAATGCAATATGATAAAACTGTCTAATGATGGTCATTGATGGTGGCTCACATTCATCCTTAAGACGCTAGTTATGTTGTTTCCTTGTATTCTGCTTTTTGCATAAATTCATGCAGGTATAGATAATTAAAAAAAAAAAAAAAAAAAAAAAAAAAAAAAAAAAAAAAAAAAAAAAAAAAAAAAAAGAGTAAATCCTATACTACAGGGCTTAATGTCCAACTACCCATAGTGGATGAAGGGTCATCCATTACCTACTACTACAATACCTTTTATGTATTATTTGTAATTAAAATTCCATGGCCTGGGCCAGGATTCAAAACAGAACCCTACTGTGGCATATATGAGTTGGCCTTAACCATTTGGCCACTGTTCCCTTTATCTTACACTCTTATCGCACAATATTATTGGCAGTCTAAGTAGCAACCTTATAGTTGCTAGTTTTTAAGTAGACAAATGATTCCTTATTTGTTTATGTTTATCTTGCATTAAATTTTAGTTCCTTTTATGTGGGCTGAATACATGCTTTTTGTTTGTTTGTTTGTTGCGCACAACCACAAGAGATTCCATGCAAGAATTGGCACAATTTGCTCGTTGTTATCTTTGTATCTCAGTGCATCTCAGAAAATTGGGTAGAGAAAAGAAAAAAATTTTAAATTAATTTTTCTTGTAGTCGGCTAGGAACGGTTAATTGGTCAATCGGCTCACGAACTCTAATGGGTTTTTTAAATGTTTTTCCCTAATGTGCATTGAAAATTGATTCACCTTGTATGTATTTTATTTACAATAAATCATCGTAGTTTTTGTAAAAGTGATTGCTGCATTCGCAATTGCCAAAATAAACAAGTCATGTTGTTGTCATTAAAATTTGTTAAATGCACGAATGCCCAACAATACAATCACCATTATAAAAAAATATTTTTATGCTATATCTGTAGCTGATTTTATCTCTTACTGTTATCTCCCCCTTGTCGAATGGTTTATCAACGAACAAAAAATGTAAAATCATATTTAAAATAACTGTTTGTATTTGGCAGCAAAAGGCTAGGAAAATTACCGGTACTGAGAAAATCTGACATAACCAGATAAACAAGTTTGTTTGTTATGATTCTTATTTTTATAATATAATAATCTAAATCAATATTTTTTTCACAATAAGCGAACCCGGAAATGTTTCCAATTTGACTAACAAAGCCGTACATTCTTGTGTAGTCTACAAGAAACTACCATTTTAAAACTTTTTATTTCAACCTTCACCAATTAAATTCTGAGATTTCCTCATGTAGTCTGTGGAGTGATGAACCTATAATGTGGTTGTTACGTATCATTTTGGTCTGCCTATCCTAGCTGGGTTGGTCTATCAGATACTTTTAAGCATTTCGCCATCTTCAGTGGGTTTTTTTTCTGTGTATATTTAAGTAAAGTATTACTTAATAAATGTATCTGTTCTGGACTTAGGAGAAAATAATACACATGCATGCATCTAATTACTTCCCTTTTTTTAACGCTTCTAGTAGTCGGCCTTGTTGCAGTCTATAAGTGAACATAGGGTTTTGTTAACCTTTCCTGATTCTTTTCAGGATTGGCTCCACTTTGGCTCATTTGATTGCCATTTTACGCCTCTGAGCCCCTGAGATTTTCTTGGGTTCAAGGTGTAGTTTAGAGTTGAATAAAAATCCTTTCCTCCGCTGTGACCTATATAGATCTCTATCGTAGAACCCTTATGAATTACTACCTTGGAACGTACTTTTGCCTATAAGCTTAAGTACTTTCCTTGAAGCCTCTTCAAGCACCTCTCTATGTAAGAATTGCTTTACCGAAGTGGCTGTACCGTAATGCTTAACATTTACAAAGTATATATGCTGCTGAGATGTCTGTTGATGGAGAGGGCACAGTTCTGTTCCTGCTTTGCCTATGTTCTGCAGGTGGTTAGTTAAGAGGGCAGTGGCTGGTTAAGTTAGCCATGTAAAATGTTTTAAAATCAAAACAATAATAAAAATATAGTGTGTATTAGAAATCATTTGTTTTTACAAAATTAAAAAAAATAGTAATAACAATTTTTCAAAATTTACAATATTATCATTATCTATTCACAACAGTTTATCAGGAAACAAAAATTTTCAAGTCCAAATTTTTTCAACACTGGCATCTCTTGAAAATAAATTCTTATGAAAAATACTGAGATCACAATAAAGTTCAAAAAGAAAAAAATTAATTAATTAAAATCTAAAAAAAGGGCCTTTCATTTTGCTGTTTGGTATTGTACCTTTTGACCTAAGACGCCTGACCGCTTCTCGTAAATGCTTGGGTTGCAATGGCCCGCTTTCATTCAAATTTTCCATCACATCCAATGCTGTTTGGAAAAAACAAATTTAGAAACTTGTAGATATTTATTAAAATTTTTTTTACCTTCTTCCACAACTTCTCCGACAAAAACCTTGGCAATACCAGACATGGCTATGACAACATTATGGGATATCGAGGTTCCAGTCAATGTCTGCATTAACTGCAAAATCTATTTATTAGTGGCCAAAGAATGTTTGAGTTAAAAAAAAATTTTCCCCCTACAATATACAATTAAATGCTGTTTGAAACATACCCTCTTTATAGCAGCTTTTGGAAATGCAGATCTTCGATACATTTCATAATGATTAAGTTGTTCTTCAGTGAAATTGGACACAAGTACCCTAAACAAAAAGTAGAAAGATCAAATTATTGCAGAATATATAAACTTAAAATATATAACAATACGCTCAAAGAACAAAATCGTACATACACGTATTTTGATGTTTAATTCAAACTGTACATATTTTTATTGTTTTATTAATTGCAACATACTTATTTTAATGTAAACTAAATTAAACAATCTGACCAAAAGACTAGAAAATCAATCACTAATGATAGATTAAAATTTAACTAACAATTTATTACTTAGTTTCACTCTTAATAACATGCGTTACTACCTCTGGCCTCACAGATGGTCTTAAATCTCCTAGGCATGGTGTAAATAAGCTGTCGGATTTTGTCTTGTGAAACAAAATTCCATTCATTATATCTAGAACTGTTTGAAGCTGTTCAATGTTTGTTGGAAGCGACAAATGAAGTCAATTCGATTCGGACACAGACGTCGATTCAACCCCATTAAAACTGTCTTTGAAAAAGCTATGGATTACGCATAGCACGTGAAGGAAATCGTTCTCCTCGCCTTTTCCATACATGGCATGGTCCCATCTGATTGCCAAAAACCAAACTGGCACTCCTGTGAGCCCCACATTGTTCAAGTATGCAAGCGAGATGCTGATTTGCAAAGTCGCCTTCCTACTGGATGCCTCTCCAGTAGCAGAGAACCTGATGCGTGAAATCTAGATACTAGGCTATTCTCACAAAGCCTTTTGATGACTGTTTTAGAGCTACGCACATTATGTACCGTCTGGAGTTCTACCTATCAAGGACACCATTAAATTCTGGTTCTGTAGTGCAGTAAGTTCAGTAAACAATCATCTCTAGCCATTGTACATTGTGGTCAATCACTACTTCTTTTTGACTGAGACTTTCAATGGCCCTAAACTGCTATAGAGCATCTTGGTAGGTACAGCAGCACACCCAGGACTTGGGCTAGTAACGGATGCATGATCGTACTAGCACAAAACCAATAGTGGTGCCAGAACTAGCTTTAATGTACAACCAAGGTTAACAACTAAGGACACTATTATGCTACGACATGGTCAGCATGTGACCATTCTCTGGTGAATTGATGTTCTTTCTTAGGGTTACACCAGTTTTGTTCATACCATCAATACTTACTGCATTTTTTCCCTTTCTTCTTCTTCGATCTCCCTCTTAGATTTGGACTCTTTCTTCTTCTTCTTAGGCGGCGGTCCGCCTCCAAGCCAGGGTTCTTCCTTGCTCTGTACCTTCTGGCTGTTCAGGCTCTCTTCTAGTTCTTCTTTGAGCTTATCGATGTTCACCTTCGAATCGTCGAGCATGTGCTCATCGAAATCTTGGACCTCTTCTTTTTTAATCTCGTCCAACTCGTCTTGTGACCCATCATCCTTCAAATTTAGCAGATTGTTCATTTTTAAACTTTAAAGTCTTCTTAAAGCAATAACTTTGGCAAAATGTAACCTTCCTTGAATCGATTTATTTTTTCACAATCGATCTAGACGGGTCATGTCTTATTCCTAGACCTGCAACCTAAGAGGGAAGAACACCAGATATTCGGCATTGGTGGATTTTATGTAAAAGCAGGTCAGTATTTACAGAATCAAAAGCTTTTGAAACATCTACATAAATGATATCAAATTGTTGTTTTATTTTTTGTATTTATTTAAACATAGTGTCAAATGTAAAAATAAAAACAAATACAAACATTAATCCATTTCTGTTTAATGGCCTAATTGACCAAATTACTTCTTTCAATTAATTATTCTTTTTATATAAGGTCTTGGTCGAGTTGAAAAAGTTAGGGACACGAGCGGGATAAACACCCAGCCGAAGGTTGTGAGTAAGAATCCCGCTCGTGACACTTTTTCATTTCGACCAAGAGACCATAAAAATAATTAATTGAAACAAATACAAATGTTTTCCATTCGTCAAATATGTTACATTTTTATGTTATACACCGTTTCGGTTTTTCGACGAAGGTACCCACTGGCCAATCCTCAGGCGGATCAGGGCTATTCTGTCCGTTTTTTTGTTATTGTTAATTAAAATTTATAGTTGCAAGACATCGTGTTTTAATCAATTTAGCCATTATTATTTTAATTTAGGTTTTGACTATTTCACCGAAGGTTTTCCATTGTAAATAGACAACTCTACGTTGTGTTAACTTGTAGATTAGTCGTGACGTTCGGCGTCCAGCTGACTTTAATTTGAAATTCTTTCTGGGCTACGCATGCTCGATAACGTTGTTGTCCAGAGTCGCGTCTCTTCCACACAAATCGAATCAATATCACGTTTTTACTTTAATTATTAATATAAAAACAAAAAGAATAGAATTTCGAACTTGAAAACCGGTTCTCGACCGAATACCTAGTGCAGGGGAGACAATCGTTATTCAACCCTCAACCGAGTCAGGGTGTAGTTGAAAATAAAATAAAATACAACACAAGAATTTGTCGAGTTTAGTTATTTTAAAGTTTATTTTTAAACGGCGTTCCTTGCCTCTCGAGTGGGAAAAGTGTGAGAGTGAGTGAAGTGTTTATTTAAATATAGTAAAAGTGGAGGCTGTTATCAACATAGGGTCAAGGTAAACATTTACTTAAATATTTTTTAAAAAAATATTTCTAGGCGTTTTCAAGAAAAAAAACAAAAAAACCAGGATCGTCAATAGCACTCGTATATGTTAAAAACTTGTGCAATCTTCTCTTGGTCTGGAAATAATCTCGGCGAAGTCGTAGATCGTTGCTATTTTAAACTAGGCTGAACTCTGGGATCGAACTATTGATTTTTCACCCGTTTAGCCCCCAGGAGAAAATATTAACACGTCCGCAGAACGCGGTCTGACCTTTGAAAGGTCACGGAAGTTCATTTCGGTGTGAACTTTGACGCAGTGCCCGAACCAGGATTGAAAGCGGCGGGTCGCACGGCTGCCCTGGTCCGAAATAGGGCTTGATTTTTATGACCGGCCTCCCTCTCAGGATCATGAAGATGAGGAGGAAAAGGTACCAGGGGATGAAACACCCTCGGCCCCGGCCTTAAGCAACTTTTTTCACCAGTGTTCAGGGGGAGGACTTTTATGCATTAGCTTTTGAATAACGTCAAAAAAAAAAAAAAAATAAAATAATTTTTACAAAAAAAATTATCTTACAGCTAAACATTAATAATCTTTTGTTTTGAGAACTGTACGACCTGACTGATTTTTCAGTTTCATAGACAGCTTATAAATGTCAGTTTTTAGCCACTTCTGCCATTTTAAACCCTTTTTGTTATTTCATAATGTAAGACTTGTCTAAACCCCATTCTTATAAATCTTTGCCTTTGAGTAAAATATGTTTTTTTAGTTTTTCACACCCCTATTGACAACTTACCTTTCCTTTGGGTTTTGTGTCAATATTATAGCTAAAAACATAACTTTTTTCCATGAGAATAGACAGAGGGAAATGATCAGTAAGGACCAAATTCCAGTGACACCAACGCACAGAAAAACAGAGAACTTACAATTAATATTTTTAGCATATAGTTTTTTTAAACAATTTTTTAGCCTTTTCAAATGTAAGATTGGTAAAAACAGTATAAATTTCCCTTACTATTAATCAAAAGCAAGTTACTTACAGGAGATGATCTTGTAAAGTGATCAATAAAGAACAAATGCATTTAACAATACTGAGAATTTTGGTTGGCCAAGCTTCGCTTGGCTGGTGTGTCAGATACGTTTCTGCATTTCCATAATTTCATCTTCAGTGTTTGTCCTAGGAGGCAGAATGTTAAAATAAGTGATAACTCGACCTAGTGATGATAGACAGACCAAAATGAATGTAATGATCAAATGTCTGGTTCTTCACCACACCAACAACATGGAAAAATTTCACAATTACTGTTTTCAGCATGTAATTTTCTTTAAATATAATTTTTTAGCTTTTCTAATTTAAGATTGGTAAAAACTTCCTTATTATAAATCTTCACTCCTATTGACAATTTGTGTCATTAGATAAAATTACTTTTTTTTTTTTTTTTTTTAAATTTTATTATTATTATTATTATTTGTAGTAGTAGTATTAACCCATAATTTGTATACTTTCCCAATGTAAATCACATACAGGAGATGATCTTGAAAAAGTGGTCAATAGATGGCCTAGCCTCGTTGGGCTGGTGTGTCAGATATGTTTCTGCATTTCCTCATCTTCAGTGCTTGGCCTGGTCAGCAAAATGCGAAAATAAGTCTGATAAATCGACCTAGTGATAGTAGGTAGACCAAAATGTACAAAACGACCAAATTTCTGGTTCTTCACCTCATCGACAATGCGGACTAATCTCACAATTACTGTTTTTAGCATATAATTTTCTTTAAATATAATTTTTTAGCCTTTTCTAATGTAAGATTTGTTTATAAATCAGTCTTAAAGTCCCATATTATAAATCTTTGCCTTTGAGTAAAAGCTTTTTTTTTCATACTCCTATTGACAACTTATCTTTTTTGAGGTTTTGGGACATTATTATAGCTGATAACACAATTGCTCTTTTTATGACAATAGACATACCAAAACTGCCAGAAGTGACTAAATTTCGGGTTCACTACCCTTCAGACTTCATGAAAAAATCTCACAATTGTGTCATTCCAGTTTCCTACGAACAGCCTGTATCGGCCGCATGTTTTTTGTCTAATCCAATGTGTGCCTTAGTGCCTTAATGATAAATGTCTTAATGATTTTTCAGTCAACTGCTTATCAATACTTGATGTAGTGCTAAAATAAGGTCAACAGCCCATTGATGATAGGTGTACCAAATTCCAGTGACAAGACTGAAATCTCACAAGTACTGTTCTTGTAATTGTAAGAGTTGTAATAACAGTATCAACTGTTAAATTATAAATCTTTGCCTTTGTGTAAAAGTTGCTTTTTTAGGGTTTTCACACCCCTAATGACAACCTTATCTTTTCCTTGGAATTTATGTCAGTATTGTAGCTTGTAACATGTCTCCTTTTACATGATCCTCACTCATGTAATGCTGTTTTTAGAAAACTTTGCTTTTTTTATTGTGAGATTTATTTCTTCATAGGGTCTGTGTCCTATGAAAATAGTCTCATAAAAACAAAAACTATTATAATGACCATTTCTTTCCGAAGAGGGTTTGTCCCACAAAATGAATGTATTCATCGTGGTTTAATTTAATGTCAATAAATCATTTCAAAGATTTGCCTTAATTATGAGTTTCATTTTTTTTGGCAGGGAAATGCCTTTAATAATCAATTAATAATCTGATTGAGACCAATATTCTGTTTTTAGTCCATGTGACATATTTTATGATTGGGGCAATGAATCTGTTTCTGAAAAGTTTGGTCTTAAATTTATTAGTTTGAGATTTATTTATATTCTGTTGTAAAAACTTTTAGAAGTGAAGATTTTTCATAGCTACTATTGCAAATTTTGATATTTCTTGAAAAACAACTGACTTATTTTCTTCTTATTTATAATTAATTTTAAAGGAAAATGATGTATGAAATATTTACTTGCGGTTGTAAACTTGTAGAAATAATTTTTTTGTTTACAGTTAAATTGTGATATGTTGTAGTTAGGAATGAGAGGTGATGACCTGTTTTTGAATGTCAGACCAAAGAGTGAAAGATGTAAGCACCTGAAGCAAAAAGCTCTAAATTCATATTGTTGATAATTCACTGCTTTGCCACTCAATGTCTACAACTTGTTTCTTAACAGGACTTACTTTCGGAGGGAAATTTTTGGCTGAGATTAATATTGTTAATTTGTGAAATATTGTGGTGAGGTGATATGATGAAGTGATTTTCCTGGTCTGCGATTGGTTTTATCTGTCAGAACAACACAAATTGCATATTAGAGACAAAACCAGTGAGGCAATTGAACTGCAGGTCAATACTGTTGATAGTCCATATCAAATATATTGTTACTCTAAGTCTATTAATTTATTTCTAAAGAAGGCTTTCCTATCAGAAATAAATATTGTATTAATTGAAATTAAAAATTTATTGAGATTAATACATGTAAATTCTGAAAATCTGTTTAAAAGTGTTGTGTTCTTGCATAATAAGGCTACAAATTCTATATTTTCATATTTCCTGTTGTACTCTGCACTTAATAGTTAATTTTTACATTTCTTGTTTTTCATATAACCTTTGTTTTTTTCAGAACGGATGGCGGGTCGGGTGATGGGGGGTTGGCAAACCTAGCAGCTCGCACCCTAGACTTGGCGCCGGCCAATCAAACAGCAAATGAACCAACGACCTCTGTGCAAACACAAGGTATGACCTTTTTTTATTCTTTTGAACATTTTTGCTTGCCGTCTATTTATATTCAGATGTTGTTGAGAAGTCAAAAAATTATGCAGTTCATAAAAGTAACTATATAGAAGAAATTTGTAGTAATTTGTACAATAATTCGTAATATATAGAAGAAAACTTTGAATCACGAAAATACTCTTGATAAAGTGAAGTATTCATACTGTTACAGTCCTTAGCAATGTTAGGACTGAATTGTTCTTCAAGGAAATTTGAGATTGCACGTAAAAAATCTTAAATATGTTAATCTGTGGACACATTTAAGATTGCTTTGCCCTGATGACCATAAAAAATAGGTTGGAAGCTTGGCAATAGGAACTGAATAAGCTTTTTTCTTCAAGACCATACCTAGATCAAGAGTGTTGTTGAGTGAAAAATTGTTTGATACTTCTAACACTAAAAAAATCTTGAATGATAGGGTGAAAGAATAAAAAGTCTTTACCTATAAATATTGACTTCCTTAGAAATAATATTGATAACATTTCTATTAAAGAGCAGCACTAATAATTTATATTTTCAAACTATTTTATCCATTTGAGAATGAAATTGTTGAAAGGGTGCCAGTAATCATGTGTCATTCTCATTGCGTCAGTTGTTTGGTTGCCTGCCTGGCTGCCAAATTAGTTTTAAAGATAATATCAAGGATTTACATCTAGTATATTCTTAAGTTGTTTTATTCTTACTCGTGCGCACTTCCAATTTTTTGTATAATAAATATGTGTTATTTTCCATGGGAGGATTGATAATTTTAGGATTTTTTGTAAGGATAATTAGACGAGTCAGGATTTTATCACTATTTGATAAGGCGTTCACTGACTGTTGGTAGAGTTCAACTATATTGTTTTATCATTTATTTTGTGTTGACATGAGGTTCATGAAGTTGATTTAAGAAAAGTTTGATATTATCGATTATTAAAACCTTTATTGAGTCTTATATATTATTGCTAATTTTGCAAAGATTGACATTACAGAATCCCGAAATAGGTACGCGTAGATTTATTATATCAGCAGTGCTAAACGATTTTTCAAAGCTATTATTGCAAATTGTGATATTTCTTGAAAACAACTGAATTGTATTTTCTTGTTATTTATAATTAATTTTAAATTTATCACATAACTGCTCTTCTAATAAAAAATTTTTATTTTAAAAAAGTATTGTGAGCAATGGAATGAAATGAAATTTTTGTTAAATCAATTTAGTTTTAATAGGAAAAATAAACTTTCTTATGGGGCATAAAGTTCCCTTGAATAATTAATGACGAATACAACATATTTACAAAATTTGAGTCTGATAAGTTACAAAGATGTACACTTACAAAAGTATATACATACGTGTGCCAATTTCTACTATAGAAATTAAAGGGATAATTAAAATTCTTTGTTACCAAGTTATAAGGGCAAGAGATAAGCCAAAACAGGCTTTGAAGGTGGAAAGTTATAGGGCTCATTATGTGGAGTGAGGAAAGGAATTCCACAGGTCGAAGGCATGGATGATGAACGAATGATTATATATAGTAATTCTATTTTCTGTCCAAACGAATTCCACTCTTTTCTCAATTTCATTTTTTGTCTAAGATACTCATTGATAATGTGAATCCCTTTGCCTAATAATAATGGCATCTGTTCTCTCGTTTCCCTCTACTCCCACATGGGACCGAGCAGAGAGTAACTTTATTTTGCACATATAATTTATTTAATTTTATTGTGCACTTCAAACCCCATCCTATGATCAAAAGATTCTTGAGCTTAGTGCTTTAATGGCTGCCATAGCTACCTGACATGATATGTTTTTGTACCTGTTGTTCATGTTGAACTGAGCACATCTCTCAATTGCATGAACTTCAGCCTGGATGATTCTCGTGTACTTTCTGGAGTATTTGTTTCAAGGACTGAATACCCCTGCAAAGTACCTTCTTACGTTCTAGATCCATCTTTGTACCAGAAGGTGGTGCCGTTCTCAATGGAGGGAAAGTTATAAGCTTTAATTTAGTTTAACATCACAACTAATTCACTGTAATACTGTTGAACAGTTGTTGACAGTATTTTTACTTCAGATTTACTTTAGAAATCATTTAAAAATAAAATGTTATAACTTCAAGTAAAACTAATGTAATTCCTGTCATACAGGAGGGTTTAATGTCCAACCATTGGGTATCTTGAATGGGGGATCAAACCACTTTACAATACTTTTATGAAATAATTCATAAATACAATTCCAAGTGCCTAGGCTAGAATTCCAAACCAATATCACTAATGTGACAATCTGAATCTGACACTGTAACCACTCAGCTCACGAAATTGTATCTCAATGCTAAATTTAATTTTAAAAAAATGTATTTTTTGTTTTGTTTTATGAAGTTAAGTTACGATACTATTAGCTTGGTAATTTTACTAGTCTAGTTTGTGCATTTTTCCACCACTGTACATTTTAAAACTAATAAATAAATCATCCCTTTTATAAATACGTACACATTTTTTGTGGAAGCATTTGTTGTAATTCTTCTTTTCTTTAACTTCATATTTTCTATTATGGATAATTTGTATCATACCATGTGTCAGGCTTATTTTTTGAATCTTTTTTTTTTTTTTTTAACAATAATACAATCTGTAAATTTCACCTTTTATGAATTCTTATGCTATAGTAACAAGCCATGCAATCCGGCATCTTGAAGTGTTGTAGAAGTTAAGGATTGTATATACAATTAAAAAAACCAAGCCTTCAAAAAATAGGGCTTACAAATAACAGTAAAAAGAAGAATTATTTGAAATATAATATTTAACAAACCAGCGGTTCTTAATTCATTGAGAAGTATGCTGTATAAAACATTTCACACCTATGAGCACTGATATAAAATGGTGATCCTTTTGTTTTCAGTACCATGATAATCTGGTAATGTAATATATCTCTTATCTAATGACATATATAAACTAAACGGGCTTAATAATAAATCTGTATTGGTTTTTTACTCTTCATAAAACTTGCTGTTTATCGGTTTAAAAAATTATACATGGACTCTTTGATTTTTAAAAGTTTTTTCTTTGTTACGAGAGTATTTCAGCTACAAGGTTATATGAACCCTCGGGATGGCGTTGTTTTTGAAAAAAAGCCCATTTGTATGTCGGGTTCGAATGCAGGGATGATCGTTGCGGGTTTTTTTAAAACTTTATAATGCATTGCTCAAGAGGAACGCCTAAAACTATTACGCACGGCACAACTGTTTTTCATATTGCCTAATCGATGCAATTACGGCGCAGTTGCTTTCATTTCTTTTTTGTCATAGTCAACTTTGTTTCTCATAGGTGCTTATTCTTATCTATGTATTTAAAGGTACAAATAAGGCTTTAAGCCCCTTGCATGTACGTACATTAGAAATAAGTTGAGTTTTATAAAAAGTAAAATAGTAAAAATAGCAATGAGAATAATAAAACATACAAAACAATAATGACTATAATATATTCTTTACAATATTAATTATTTATAATCTAATGATGAAACCATGTTACGAAAGAAAAGCAGAAAGAGAAAAAAAGGAAACGGGAAAAGCAAAGGAGTTGATTCATGTCGTTTTTAAAAACTCAAATGAACCTGAAACAAGCCAGTGAGGAAGCAGAACGTACTTTCCGGGGAAGCAAATTCCATAGTCTTGATCCTGAAATTCTGAATGTGGATAAAGGTTTAGAAGAGTGTTGAGGGCTTGGGATATGATTGGTACGTTTGGATAAGGAATGAGAGAAAATAGCAGATAGGTATTGAGGGCATTTATTTGATTTAATTTTAAATATATATATATAAATTNTATATATATTAAACCAAATAAATGCCCTCAATATCTATCTTCTATTTTCTCTCATTCCTTATCCAAACATATATAATCCCTTGGTTTAAAATCGTAACAGTATCTAATGCAGGAATGATAAGCAATTTGAAGGAGATGAGCGGATTGAGAGCCTAAGGAAAGTGAACAATTAGCGCCACAGTAAGAGAATAAAGGCATTATTAGGGATTTAATGAGGAGAACACTAGCTTTCTGTGGAGTGAAAAAGTTCAGGCGTCGAAGAGAATGAAGGCTTGCGTAGATCTTTTAAATTTTAAATAATAATTTTAATAATAAATAATGATTTTTAAATATTTTTAATAATGGAGCTGTCTTGTCATGTAAGATTAAAAATAACGCTTAAGGACAAAAATTAATAGGGGAGCCGTTGATATGGACAAGGGAAAGGCAATCTGTACTAATGGTTTTATTGGAATTTAATAAGGACTGATTTTGTTAGGGTTTAAAAGAATGCCGTTATTTCTTGACCATTGGTTGAGAGAATGAAGATCACGGTTGAGAGCAGAATAGCTTCAGAGATGTTGCTTGTAGGACATTGAAAGTAAAGCTGAGTGTCATCAGCATAAAGATGAAATTAGGAGAAATTAAGAACTAATAGAAGATCATTTAGAAACATGGAAAAGAGTAAAGGTCCAAGAATAGAGCCTTGGGGTACTTCAGTTGAAATTGAGTGAGAAAAAGAATAAAATTTGAAGCTTCTCTGAGTTCTGTCAGGCAGATAGTACATTAATAGTACACTTATTATCATGTAATGACTAGGCGGATATCATCGGACATTTTGAGGGCAATCTCACAATTATGAAATTTTCGGAAGCCAGATTGAACAGGTATTTAAGGACATGAGGAGTCAATACTTAATATTTGTTTAAATAAAATCTTCTCAAATGCTTTGAATAGTGATGGAAGAATAGTAGGATCATAGTCACTAGCAAGGATGTGTTTAGGTTTCTTGGGCAATACAATTATTAGGGTTTCCTTTATGTAATATTTTTTAAGTAATAATAATCCTTTATGTTATATTTTACTATTTGCAGTTCTTAAGATTTTATGTTTTATCATGAAATTAAGAAAGAAAAGAAGATGGAATTCGTAATTCTTATGAGGGGTGATGGAAGAATATTAATAGGG